GAAAGGCCATCTAGTACTGGCTTACCAGCAACGTACTCAAACTTGACATTGCGGAAAGTAATTGTCGTCGTTTCTGGAGTGATGTTCAGTGGCACAGCATCAAAACTATTCTGCAGGGAAAAAAATAGTTATCATACATTAATGATTCTTGTTATAAAGCCAAAATTAAGTACCATAATTCCACAATAATTTTAATTTATGCTTCCATTTTGTGTGACTTCCTTATACTGTTTCAAATTGCAAATGCACACTTTAAATACTATGTCCATTTGATGTTTATACACAGGCATTTCATAATTTTATAACGAAAACTGGCCAAAATACTGAATTTTAAAAAACAACATAAAACTTGTAAAATTAAATGGCTGCCATAATGCATTTAAATGCTACTGTGAGAGAGAGATAACAACCCAGTAATATACCACTTTAAAACGTTTGTAATTATTTAGCTACAATTTGTTATAAATAATACCACATCAGGCTCAAACAGGGTTTAAATGCCTCCACACTGAAGGTTTAAAATGAAGAAAATTAAACCAGCATCAAAATGGCTTCAGAAAATGTAGTGGTCATTTAAAGAACAGATTCTGTCAAAAATTGGTCAGACTTTGAACACTGTTACTTGTGAATACAAGTATTAGTGACACATACTTAGATTTTGAAATATTCCAAGTAAAATTGATATTTGTGTCATAAGAATAAATTTTACAAGCTGTACTCGTTACAAATTCAAATTATTATACTCGAATGATGACCAATCCAACCTTGACTTTTGTATCCATGGTCATCAGGGTAAACATGGTCTGCATGTCGATCAGAGCTTGTCGAACCTCCCTGTACACTGATCCAAGGAACCCAAGAGGCACAGAGAGTTGGAACAGTAAGCCATTTACCATGACCAAGTCTCCCACTGTCATATTACCTATATAAATGCAAAAATCATGAACTTGAAACATTCAAACACAACTAGAGATTCAAAACATATTCTCCAAGCACAATATTAATATAAAAATCTAAAAAATATGTAACACCACGCAGAGCAACTGTCCTGTAAACTTCTCCATTGAATTGCATTTACCTAGATGGTGTGACTTTTTGACTACCATATTCAGAGTTTATAACGACAATGTAAGTTGTTCCACCAAGAAAATAACAGTTTAACAGTTCCCACGTTTGTCAACATCATGAAGTATGTTGAGTTTTTCTTTTCTTTTCATTTGTGTTCCCAATCATGCATTATCTAATACATTTACATAAAATAACTGCAGTGCACACAACACGATCATCTAATGATTAAATAATAACAACAGTTAACTTCAAATCAATCACACACTAGAAGCTAAAATGATGCTTGCAAAATGGCATGTTTGCCAGATGCTGAGAAGAAAAACTGACCAATCACAAAACAACGGCACAAAACCTGGGACATTCAATGAAGTGACACATATAAATAAACATTAATAAAAATAAACATATTTTGTAGGAGCTAAAACCATTGAAAAATTATAGGAAAAGCAATGAACTGACATTTTTTTGTAAATTACGGGAAACCATACATTTTGGGAACGTAAAAGTAAGGTTTTATTGTACACTGTATTTATGATATTTAAATGATTGTTAATAAAGATACAGGCCTATATAATATACTATTAAACTGAAAATTCATGACACAGTACACTTCTATTTGTAACAATTCTGTAAAGATTTGTGGTTGATATTCAATACTGTCCACTGTATGAAGAATATTTGATATACACAACAATTTTAGAGATGGTTTTTATTCCTAACTTCAGGTAGATGCCTACTGCCAGATTCTTAGCCACAAAGCTTCAAAAATTAGCTCCTTAGCTCTGCTATGTCTGCCTGTGGTCGTCTGCATATAACTAAAAGAAACGCTAAGCAAAATCCCATAAATGTTGATACTAGGAAGTCAATGACAATACTTTATTGAAATGTAGAGTTAAACTATGACATAAACAAGTTTGTATAGCATTCCACAGTCAGCTAACTCAAAAAATGAATGCCTGAAATACCTTACAATACATCCAATAAAGAACAAACTTGTTCTACAGATCCATAGATTGATTTATAAATTATTAATTAGCACTGTAACACAAACTAAAGTTATTTCTTGTTAATGACGGTGACCACAGAAAAAATAATATACAATTACAAATTGCAGTAAAATCATGTCATTGAACGATAAGATATCTGAAGTAAAGCAAGCTGTGACAAATTCCTGCAAAAATGCAAAATATCCACATACAAATAGATGCTTATGAAGACCTACAAAAATATTCTGATTTACAATCCCTGTTAAAAGGCAAATTAGAATTAATACTGTAAAGTTATGATTGTGAGCTACTAAATGTATCCAAGTCAACGCACATGAGGTCAGCTAATTCAATGGCTTTGAAATATCATTAGATAAAAGCCATAACTGTTTGTTATACCGGGTCTACAATTTATGCTGTAACGGCCTTGCTTGCATTGCGTGCTCGGCCGAGTGCACTGTTGGTGTGGGATAGAGATAGCGTGTTATTCCCGTGAGTCACAGGCGAATCAGTTTCATTGCGTCTCTCGTCGCGGATTGACGTTGATAATATGGTGTACAGTATTAAGCAACGTGTGTTCTTAGTCGAAACATATGCCAAATATTCATCCTACGGAAGATGCCGCCGTAAATATCGCAGACATTTTCCCGGTGAAAGTGTTCCTAGCAGGCCCACGATAGAGAGATTAATAAAAAAAATTTGTAGTACGGGATCAGTTTTGGATAAAAAGAAGAACAGGAAACCACAATTCATTTCGGCAATTTCCCAAGAAGAGCTTCGTCAAGTATTTCGAAACATGTTAACGAGATGTGAAGCTTGCCTGCAAGCACAAGGAAGTCACTTTGAACATCTTTTGTGATTTAAGGTAAGAAAATTAATGTAATAACATGTGTTAGTGACGAGAAATATTCGTAGTTCGCTGTTACTAGCGGCACCGAAACTGATTCGCCTGTGACTCACGGGAAGAACACGCTATCTCTATCCCACACCAACAGTGCACTCGGACGAGCACGCAATGCAAGCAAGGCCGTTACAGCATAAATTGTAGACCCGGTATAACATGTAAAACACACATATGAAAATTTTGTGATATTTTTGCAGAATTCATTTTGAAATCTTTGGATTGATTTTTTTTGTACGAATTTTAAGACAAAACGAAATAATGTATCTATGTATTTATAACAAAATTATGTGAAATCATTCTGAATTATCTTCCTACAAATAAGTGTTTCTTTTGTGATAGCTAGAGGGCCAGATGATCAGAAACCCTGAATTACATCATACAAGCATTACCTTGCACAATTTGTTTGGCTGCTAGAACCATGATCAAGCTCAAAGCACCACTAAAGATTGCATTCTGTCCAAAGTTGAGCAATGCAAGGCTTGTGCTTGTCTTCAATGAGGCTGCTTCATATTTCTTCAAAGAACTATCATACCGATCTGCTTCATATTTTTCGTTGTTGAAATACTACAAAGAAGACAGCAGTTTTTTTAATACCATGAGCCATTAATTACCCTTGAGCACTTAGTGTATTAAAAAATTTTAGTTCACAATAATAAACAAGTTGAAGTCATATCTGCTCTTAAACACCAAGCCACAAACGCATTTAAAAGGGAACTGAGATAAAGCTTCAGCGAGCTCTTAACACTGCAGCTGTTTTTACCCAAGTTGATCAGAGGCTGGGCACAGTACCATGATGGGAAACAAATACTGATCATCCAGTTAGAAGCGTGTTATCTTGGTGTCTGAGCTATCATGGTTCCTTTATAACACTCTACGTAAATAACAACTGATGATACAATCAAGTCTGATTCTGATAACTGAACTTCTGTTTAAAAAAAACATCAAGTAAACAGAGAATTCACAGCAGAATCCGCTGTCTGCATTAAAATCTCTAAAAACAAAATCCCTACCCCTGTCAACACAGCCATCCGTTGTAGGTGGCATGAGACTGGATAGTGATATTCCGGATGGAGGCAGCAAGTTCCTCTGAAACCATGGCATAACCCAGGAGACAACAATCTGAACCTGCACAGCCATGAAAACCTAGAAAAATATTTCTGATTTTCACCACTCATGCCCATGGGTCCTTGCGTTTAGAAAGGACTCTTTCTCGTGGCTCTTACTACAGTGTCTGACGACAGGACAATTCACGAATAATAAATAGTAAAGGGCATGGAAGGAAGTGGTCATGGCCTAATTTAAGGTACTATCCCAGCACTCACCTAGAGGGACTGAGGAAAATCGTAAAAAAAAAACCTGTCAGGACAGCGGGTATCTAGGCCAAGATCTAAACTCAGGCCCTCCAAAATTCGAAGCAGAAGTGCTAACCACTTGGCTATGATGTTTGGTGGTGCCTTCCTAAAAAGTAAAGTTTGTCCCACTATACGCCATGTAGGCGTTTGGGGTGAGAGGAGGTATAGCTCCTCTCTTCCTTGACCCCGGCACTAGATGGGGGTGAGTGGTCAGCATCACGCCCCGGGAAAGGACCCCCGGTACCCCTTGTAGAGGAGGCTGGGTGGGCCCCAGAGCCGGTCTGGACGCAGAGGCTAGAGGAAAAATCCTCTGCCCCCGTCGTCCAGCCCGTAGCTAGTCACTATACTGACTGAGCTATCCCGGCTCATGGTGGTGCCTTCCTAGTTTGTGAATATTACTTACCTTAACAGTTTCATAGTTAATAAGTGAATCAACAGCCTTGTTTCCTGCTTCATTTTCAGCTTGGTTCATGTAAACCCGGAATTTCGTCCTCCACTGTGTAATAGCAAGAGTAAATGCTGCATATACACTGACACATCCCAATGAGACTCCAGCAAATGCTATGCCACACTTCACACCCTACGAAGAAAGAATATTAACAGTAAAACTGGTTATAGTTAAAAAGCTCATCCACTTGTAAATACCACTGTATTAAAACCCAGAAACAGCATAAACTTCAAAAACTTACCAAGATAGTACTGACAAGTGCCAGTTCAAATACTGTCGGGACTACGTTGAACACCATAGCTGACAGCACAAAATTGATACCTCGACTTCCCCTGTCAATAGTCTGGAAGTATTATAATAAAAATGTCTGAGAAAAAACAGCAATATTCACAAACAAAGGTAATAATGAAAACTTTAATATGAAATTTATAAACATGCAAATCCATTCATATCAGAAATTTGTGTATTGCATTTCTGTTTCTGTGTTGTCCAATGAAGTTTTATCTACATGAGTTCATATTTTTCTTACTATGTTTAAAGTTCAAAGCATTTTCTTAAACAATAAAAATTTTCACACCAAGTATAAACATAAATATGTGATCTACATTCTTTCAAAAATTACACAAAATAACAGCACACCTTTGAAAGAGCTCCAGTCTGTCGGCTCAAGTGGAAAGCCAAATCCAATTTGTGAAGGTGCAAAAACACATTACGTGCAATACGACGAATTGAATGCTGAGCAACTTTGGCAAACACTGCATTTCTCAGTTCATTGAAACCAGCGGCCCCAGCACGTGCAACACCATCTAGGAAACAATTTATGAACTTAGTGTTCAACGACAACAATAATGTTGCAGAATTAACATTCACTAAATTAAACCTGGCTGTGGTCAAGCTTGAAATGCTTCCAAGTACCATACCACTAAACGAGTAATCCTGAAGTTAAAGTATGATTGGCAGCCCTGTAGTATGAGGGTTCAAATCCCCTGCTCTCTTATGATAAAGGTCAAGATGACTAAACTTTGGAATGATTCATGGGATTGTAATGTGTAATGGGAGAATTCAGTCAATGGGTATTTAAGAAACAGTGTATCGGGATGTGGGCAGAATTCATCAAGGCTCTTGCAAACACGGTATTTCAATACATTAACAGAGAACTGAAAATACTATATAAATGAAGATTTCTGTCTTCTGGGTTGTTGCGCTGTGTAGTCTGGTCGATGTTAACCAACGTTTCGGAGGTAAACATCTACTATACTACACGGTGCAACAACTCAGAAGACAGAAATCTTCAATTCATGGGTTATTTAACATTACTGTATAAACTGCAATAGTTATACAGTGATGAATAAATTATGAGGTATATTTTAAGGTATTATGCCTTAATTCAATTATACTTTTCCATAATTCTGTGTGAAGTTTAACACTTCTGCCATTATAAGTCTCTGAATCACAGCCATGAAAATGTTGCAATGGAAAAACACATCAGTGCGGAAAACCTGTGTGTTTCAACTTTTTTCTACTGACATCCATCAACAAATGGAAGCTGATTTTTTCAGCATACCTTCATACATACAAAATACAGATCACACGTATAACTACCAAGTTACTGCTTGGTTCTATTGCTTAACTAACTCTTTAATAATATCCTCTCACATATACTTACAAATCCAAGTGATCACCTCTCTTCAGGTTTTCTAATTTGTTATGCGCTTCCCATCTCTCCAATGCATGATAAATGCCCCACTCACCTTATTTTCTGTGGTTTTACTGCCCCAGTAACATTTGGGGGAAGAGTACACATTAGCAGGTCCTCATTAACTTAAAATGCTTACCCAACATAAGAAAACACACCTGTCTTTATAAAAATAATATTGTAATGTGTAATGGGAGAATTCAGTCAATGGGTATTTAAGAAACAGTGTATCGGGATGTGGGCAGAATTCATCAAGGCTCTTGCAAACACGGTATTTCAATACATTAACAGAGAACTGAAAATACTATATAAATGTAAGACTTGAGGTTCTCACAGCGGTGAGTATGAATATATCCGTCTTCTGGGTTATTGCGCTGTGTAGTCTGGTCGATGTTAACCAACATTTCAGAGGTCATACTGCCTCCGTCATCAGGGCGATGAATATTCATCGCCCTGATGACGGAGGCAGTATGACCTCTGAAATGTTGGTTAACATCGACCAGACTACACAGCGCAATAACCCAGAAGACGGATATATTCATACTCACCGCTGTGAGAACCTCAAGTCTTACATACTATATAAATATTTTATGAAGATTCTGTGTAATTAGCCAACACTGTTACTACTTCACATCAGCATCGATAAACGCTGTGTAAAAAACTTTGTCTGTTAACAGACACACTTACAGCCAATAAGCATAGTTATCGCAACAGTTGCAACTGTGTCAGGTGCAGATGACATGTTCAGATAAGCTTCACCAGTGGCTGTAGGTGGTAACGCCTGGTTCAGATGATCCAGCGCATACTTGAAAGTGAACGGGACAGCCACGTTTAATACCTTGGCTCCAACCAGCAGACCGACCGCCACACATACACGTTTGCGTATAGCTGCATCATCCTATACAATATTTAAAATCAACATAAAAATGAACTCTAGTGTGTCATATTGCACTTTACAAATGACTGAATTATCACTTCATCCACTTGTGGAGTACACATCTGACATTCATTAATCTGATTAGTTACTTTTCCTTTCATGACTTATGGACTCAAACTATGATGAATGATTTCATCTTTAAAACTAATCAAAAAGAATGTTGAAGTTTTCAAAGTTTAAAAAAACACTAGTATCCATCTTCATATGCCCTACAGCAGGGTACAGAGGCAGGCTCTCATAAACACGATAAGAATTCTCCAGTTAATTAGACTAGATGAGTCACTATTAGCTTCTTAAGGACTCTGCATCATAAAGTTAGTTAAGCCATAGAACCATACTGGGAACATGTGGTAGGCATATGGTTATGCACAGTATGTTGTTTGAATCTTCATGGGATATTACGTAGCTATAAAGGCTTATGTATTCTACGGTTTTCCTCAGTCATACATGGCTTATGCCAGGATAATACCTTAAAATGTGCCTCACAAGTCATTAATACACATTATAACCCTTGAACATTATACACCCTGAAGATGTCAACTGTAATGTTTGGTAAAATAAAAAACCTTCAACATTCTATGTGACTTATTTCCAAGTGCCAAAGTTGTATATTAAATTCCAGCCATGAAAACGTGAAATGTGTAAAATGTGAGATATCAAATGTAACCTTGGGTACCAGAAAAATGTACAAACATTGTTAAACTGGATATATATATATATAAACAAACCTTTGGCCAAATATAAGTCAACATCCCCTTGAGCATATCCTTGCTGGTGACAGGCTCACCACTTAGAGGCAATGCTTCTCTGGCCATTGATAACGCTCCTGGGTGGAAACATTTTCTCACAGATTGTCCTGGCGGTATCTTTGCAGGAACAAAATTGCTGACAACGTTACCAATGTCAGGAGAGCCTGAAATTAGATAACATCCACTCTTTGTCTGATTCTGCTTCTGGTCAAGGACATGACCTGTATTGCTGGTACCCTGTAACAAGAGGAAAACATCCAAAATGTTGAAAATGGAACAAAAGAATCAAACACTACATTAACATTATCGCTGTTACCTATAAAAATTGTATACATGAAGCGATTTTCACCGAGACCAACCTTCACCACATGAGAATCTGAATAAATTATCAGCGCAGTATGTCTCACAAACTATGGAAATAAAAATTGTGCTATTGAAATGGTAGCAGCAAATGTTCTAATACCAGAACTGAAATTACACTAACAATTAATGTATTACAAGTCACTTGTAGTGAAAATGAGGTGAATGATGGATCACATCAGTGTGTAAGGAATTTAAAACAAATACTTGTAATCTGTTGCAATCAACAAATGTAAATGTTTATAATGGCATTGTCCATCTTCTTCTGAGAACTGCCATAACAAAATTGTTGTTTTTATCTCCTACAACACCCTACCACTGTCATCAGGACTATTTTATAAACATTTCATAAACACACACCTGTTTGGACTTCAAGATTATCATCAAATGTATCCTTTCAGAAGACACTGTTTTGTTCATTTTGAGCGTTATTACGGTGTTAAACATTACATGAGCACAAATGCATGTTATCACTTTCGTGCCTATTTTTAGCATACTTTCCTTCTTTAAGGAAGAAAAGTATAAACTTATGAGACACGCATGCTGCATTTGTCCCCACCTTTCAACTCTCAAAACAATTTACCAACTTCCTTGACATTTGTTTTCATGTTATGTTACTTGATGTCATCCCAACATCACACTTTTAATTACCTTCAATCAACAAAATCAACATAACAGACACAAAAACTTGTAAGACCATCTTGTACAATTTTGTTCGTGTGCAGTGATAATGTCACAATTTTCAATCCTCAAACATCACTTCAACCACTTGAACTTTTTTATGGGTGTGGTTCTTGCACACTTTCTCTCTCTAACAGAAAACAGTGTTTGAGAACAGTGCTGATGGGAATACTACAAACTAAGAGGGATGAGGATATAAGATGCTGAAGAAAACTGTATAAAAATGAGCTCCATAAATGGTACACTTCTTCAAACATGAAAAGGCTGATAAAATCAAGGATGGCTGGGATAGGCAAGCAGCATACATGACACACAAATGTTGGGAAAGTGCAGACTGGACTGATGTTCTGGTTCAGGATAGAAGCTGCTGGTGGATTCTTGTAAACATGACAACAAACGTTTGGGTTCCACATAAAGTGGGAAATTTCCTGACTAGCCGAGGGACTATCAGCTACTCACAAAGAGTTATATAGAACAGGATATTGATTTTGTACATTGCAGAACAAGCAACTGAAAATATTACCAGATTTGAATATAAAATAAAGTAAAATAATCAGCTAATAATATTTACAGAGACTGAAGGGAAGGGACCACATGAAGATGTAGAGGGGAGGATAACATCCATGGCAGGATCTTGTAAATTCAGGTGAACAGCTGAGTGACTATCAGTTTATCAAGACGAATTCTGCTCCGTGGAATTAGTGAGGCATATGGCTAAGCTACTGTCATTCATCCATAAGATGGTTTGCTTCAGGTTAGGCTTGCTAGCTGCTTGCAATAAACTGCATACTGCTTTTCTATTATTAATATATACATATATATTCACACTGACTGGAAAAGTTCCTGAAGTGCCCTTAAATTGCATTCATAATGAAACAGCAATATGAAAATCTTTAAATACATATACCCATTCACCATTATTCTAATATTTACTGCTGTGGAATTACTAATGGCTTACTATCAGTGGATATAAGTTTCTTCTGCACAGAAATCTGGTTATGGTCTCTAATAACCAGACCAGGTACAAAAATAAATCAATATGTAGGATATGAGGTTTTCACAGCGGTGAGTATGAAGACGGCTGTCTTCTGACGTATAGCACTATGTAGTCTGGTAGAAGTTTACCAACATTTCAGAGGTCCTCGCTGCCTCAATCATAAGGACCAATGACATGATAGAGGCAGCAAGGACCTCTGAAACACTGGTCAACTTCTACCACACTTCATGGCGCTACAATCCAGAATGGGTATCACTGTACAAAAATTACTTTTATAATAAAGTTCCAGGTTCTCATGGTCGCAAGTACGAAGATGATGTCTTCTGGGTTGCAACACTGTGTAGTCTGGCAAAAGTTAACCAACATTTCAGAAGTGCTTGCTGCCTCCAACATTAAGATGACGAGGTGCCATCTTCAGGGACTATTATGTTGAGATCTCAGATATGGGAGGACAAGTATTAAGGCAAAATGTATCCTGACATTTGTCTGCAGAGGCTGAGGAAAACCACAAAAAATGTGTTAGTTAGGATAGACAGTAACCTGACTGGGACACAAATTATGTACCTCCTAAACAAGCAGACAGAAGAGTCATATAGCTTGTTACAATGACATTAATAGCATTTTAAAGTAACAGCACATAACATATAAATCTAAAAAGCACAGTGTTAACTACCATATAAAATGCTCAGACTTGGTTGCTAACAACCGTGTTCTTCCCTTCATTCCAGGATTCAATATTACAAGATCTTTGTACAGTATAAAGTTTTTTCTGCAATCAAACCAAATAACAACACAGTACAAATATTTAACATCTTTATTTTTAGCAACATGCCACGCAGCTCAGAAAACCAACACCTAACAATTCAGATTCACTAACAAAGTTCCTTTCTCCTTCCTGACAGTTTCATATCTTACTGCAAGAAATTACCATAAAAATGTACATGTGAGTAGCGTAAAATGCATGTAACCATTTCTACATCCGCTAGTCCTTTACTACAAACTGAATTGGAAATCTCTGTGGTCAGATGATATACAATCTAAAACAGCACATTTCTCTCAACGCATATTATTTTTCAGTCTGAAATTCATGTCGCAAGAAGCACAGAGCAACAATTAAATATAAATGTATATTATTATCTTGCCAGCAGATGTAGTTAAGATTATTGGATATTTACAAGAAAAGGCAATACCATTACATACAGAATGTCCCAAAGAGATGAATACCGATGTATGTAATGGTTGCGGGTATACATCTCTTTGGGACACCCGCATGTCAAGGCTCCAGAAGTATTGTTGAATCTATTAGCTACTTTAAAGATTACGCCAACAAAGGGAACATTTTTAGAAAGGAGCAGCTTTCTTAGGGCAGCATTCAGTATGTCACAGCTGCAAGGTTAAGCTAATTCTCTGCTCAGAGAGGCAGTATGAATGTTTATGACCTACCTCCACATCAACTAGGATTTGAGGTTTTCACGGCAGTGAGACTGAATATGGCTGTCTTCTGGGTTGTAGCTACAAGGTAAATTTCTACCAGACTACACGCTGCTACAACCCAGAAGACAGTCTCCACATAAAATTTCACATTCATAGCCCCAATAGTTCATTAGTTATTTGACAAAATGAGAGCCACAACATTGCAGTTTTACAGTCTTAAAAAATTAACACAACTTGCATACTTTCAATATCCTATAATCATAAATAATTACAACACTGGCTTTCTAACACTTACACAAATGTGGTTGTAGTTTTTATTCATTTTTCTGTGGCAACAAAGTCTGTGTGTTCAAGATTGGAAAATTCCTCTTTGTTAAGAGCAACCTCAAGCACAGAAATGAAGATAATAAAGATACAACAAGCTGCCTGATGGTCTTGACATGAAATTCAAAAAACAAATTACATTTTACGGCCTCCACGGCCATCAAAGACCTGGCGATTAAAAAAATAAGTCTACATGAATACTGAACCCAGGTCACCCAGACCATAGGCGTACACACTACCAAGTAAATTATGATGGCAATCAAAGATTCTTCCACCAGTCTTTGAAAGTAACGGTGAAGAAAGTGGAAAATTGAACTGTGTATTACAGGGAAACAGAGGAGTGTCTATATCTAATATTTTGGCCATACCACAAAACCAGAGCCAAATTGGAAGGTAACAATCAACCAAGTCCCTTTGAAGACACAGCTTGTTAAATTGAAGGCTCATTTATTATTTCATTGTTAACTGTGCCCTTCTGGGTTGTGATGCCATGTGGTCTGTGTCCTTCAACCCGGTACAGACAGCCAAAGCTATCTATATGTAGCCCAGTCTCCACCATGAACTGGAATTTCTCCACAATACTGATTAAAATTACTATAGCAACTGGTAGATTCTCTGGGTTCTGAAACCACCTAAGAGAGTCACACAATCATGTAAAAAGTATCTAACTATGGTCACTTCTTACTCAGTTTCAGCACTACTTTCAATTGCATTTGCAGGGTGTTGTCCAGGCACAATATTAAGATAGTTGGCTGCCTGCCAATAAGAGTACCCAAGGCTGATATAGCATTCCCTGCAAGAGTTAGATAGTATACAATGTACAAAACAGATGTTCAACTGAGGTCAGGGTCACATAGCACTATCAGCACATCTTCCTCAATCAGCCTGCTGAGTCAACCACAGGAAACACAGAACAAAGCTGCACCATCACATCCAGCTGTAGGACACCAGGATCCTGCCTAAGAAATCCAGAAGCATGGACAAATACTCTTTAGGGTCTCCTCTGTCAACCTTCATCCCCATTCAAGTTAGCCACTGAGTCCTCGTATTCTTTTTGAATGATCACTGATTCAATTTCCCCCTCTGACTGCCATCGGCCATTCTTCTCCCACCATTCTCAACTTTATAGTAAAAGACCGCCCTCATCGTTTTATCCTGACATACTGTTCCTAACAGAAGTTGGCCATTATTAGGGCCTCTGGAGGAGCTGCACTTTTCATGACCTCTCAGCTATTTCATCTGTACTTTCATCTTTCTTCCTTTTCTTCCCAATTCCACTGACCACCCTCCCTCCTACAAAATCAGCTCACTTTAACGAGAAGCTGGAGGTGATATATTTCTCTGAAATGCTCGTTACCACCTACAGGACCACACAGAATTACAACCCAGAAGACCATGGTCACAGTCTTCACTGCCATGAGAACCTCAAATCTCAGACTCTTATTTCCTTAGTTAAAAAAATACTGATGATTTACTAAATAATATTAAAGGCTATATCTGTATATATGAAATAAATGTATTTAACTAATGTTATTCCAAACCAAACCCATTATTGTAATTAACATCTACTCCACAAAACCAGTTTTTTGGTGTGGAAATGCTATTTACATTACTGAGATTTCAGCCCTTTTCAACAAATTCACATACGCTAATACCAAGTCACTAGCAACTTCAAAGCTTCTAGAACAACCGTTAGTTATTTTCTGCTCCATTATTTTCAATACACTTTCAAATTCTAAATATTTCTGTTTGATTAAGTGTTTTCCTACTTTACAAATATGCATACTCTCCTCAGAAGTAAAATTAAAAGAATATATCTTTAAAGCTAAGACATCTTTTCTTGATTCACTTGTCATAAACATATAAATCAAGGCTTTCACATTAAAAGACAGACCCTCATAGTTACATGACAAGTTCTCTGTTAGGTTGTGACCTTTCAGAAAATTCAGTTTTGTAGTTGAACATTTAAATTCTACAGGATAAGTATCTTTTACAGAATTCACTACCTCTTCAAACGTCAATGGTATATAATCATATGGATTCTGAGGAATGATAAAACCATATTCCGTATATAGTTTAAGATTTGAATGATCACCATAGTGAATGAACACTTGTGTATTTTTGGCAAAGGGTACCAAAGTTTGTATTTCATAACTGTTTTTATCTGAACTAAGTCCAACTTTCACATCCACATCATTTGAATGATTAAACATATCCAGATATGGTGCCAAGGCTAAGCAGCTATTATCTTGGATTTTCAGACTATGGCTAAGCACTTTCTCATCCAAATATATGCAGCGAGTGTTCACAGCACACCATGCCCACCAATATTGATCACATTGGATTATACTGCTTAATGATTCACTACAATGCCAACACTTCCAACACTGCATATTTAAAATTCTTCTCAAATCACTAAAAGTGTCCATCACTTTATTTCTGTGACTTAAAATAGGTTTTAATAAAACAGATGGCAGTAACTCAAGTTCTTCATTTGAGCAAAACAATGGCATTGAATATTCCAAAGGTACACTGTTCAAATAAGGTTCCCACACTGAGCGTTGTCCTAAATGCTTCTCCCACACCAGAAAAGCCGCAAGTACTTGTTGAGCAAGCAGAGGTACTGCATTAGCCTTGCTAAAAAGCCAACCAATACCAGATCTTTCTACTACAGAAAGTGTTATAAGCAGTTCCAGTGGTATGCTCACTATAACTTGGTTTCTAGGGACATATGTTTCCGCCATTAAACCACGACCTGTATCATAAAATTCCACAGGACGTAATGAGCAAGTTTGTGACCAGCCATGTTTCTTCATCCACTGCATTAAATTAATTAAACATGGAGATGACTGAAGGTTTAGAGAGAGCTTTCTCAACGCCTTTCCTTTCCTTCTTCTATATGTCCTACCCATTTCAACTTAAGGTACCGCCTGAAATACTCAAATGTCACTAATGTCACACACCTGCAAAAGCTATACTAAAGAATAATCAGTAATCCTCATCACAGGCTAACAGGGAGGAATGAACAAGATGCAGAGCTCCACAATTTTGGTTTGCCACTTGCATGCAACATAGTCTACAGAAATCAATTCCTGGTCTGGACAAGCAATTCTGATGTTAAATTATAAAAGAGGCAAAATACTAACATACATACACACAGATCAGATGGGTTATCTTACTACTTTTATCCTGTTCTTTAAGAAAAAGATAAAAACAATTTTCAATCTTTCTCTCCAGAACTCCTTCGTAAAAGAACTGTACCTTAACACACGAAACGTAACAAGGCTACGTTTTGGTTAATTCACTGTACCATGTAATGCAAAATACTTCTGACACTCGTATAAAATTGTTTTCTCATGTACTTTATTTCACATAACGCAACTTACCCTTAAATTTGACAATATTTTCACGTCGGTTAACTGCTCTTTACTGTCCTTTGAAAAATTCCTTAACAACTTAAAGCAAACATTTTTCCTACACTGAAAATCACAACGTATAACTAAATTATTATTATTGTTAGTTCTTGATTTCCAACAGTTTGAATGGAAGGCCAACATACCCCTCCACCTCAATACTACGGCAGCCATACTCACCCAAACTAACCAAAATACATAGATTAATTACCTAGCATATCTGTGTCCACAGTCGACCTATCCTTCATTACTTTTCGATTGCAAAGAGTCCAGGAATTTGGTCAATTATAATAGGAATTATCTTCAAGTTTTCAAAACGTTGCGGGTAGATTCATGAAGTACTAATACCATGGTTGAATTTGAGGCGAGTGTGAAGATGACTGTTTTTTGGGTTGTAATACCGTGTAGTTTGGTAGAAGTATACTAACTTTTCAGAGGTCCTTGTGGCCAGGGCGATAAGTGCCCCGATGACAAAAGCAGCAATTTACTATTGTCGGTGTCAAGAGCTGTTTTCTTGCACAGATAACTGAAGTAAATTACCAGCATACACCGGTGTGAGAAAGAAATCCTGTTATTCAGAACGAGAACCTTTATCGAGGCTGAGGGATTACAGGCATATTAAGATTTGACAACAGCCTACTTTTTAAGGGCTTTTTGTTTTCATAAATTGCTATACTGTATGCAACAAAATCATTTCTAAAATCTGTAGCTATAAACCGCTAGGCGCATAGCTTTGTCTCCAAGAGCTGTAAAATAAAGGAAGGCAAACATTGAATGGGGAAAAAAAAAAAAAAAAATGTGTCTAAATATAAAAATCATAAGAAAAAAAACAGGCGTTTTCGTGTTTTCAGTCACATGAAATTTTGCCACTTCTACGTATCGTATAAAAATGGTTTATGAGTCTGTAGGATTTGTTTTTCATGGCCTTGAGTCCGAGTGGGATGTCAGGCCTTGTAGTCTGGTAGGAGGTTACAAAAATTATAAGTCAATACTCCACTGCTTCTTTGTAATACTGTTTTATTTTACACATTCTTTACTATATAAAATAAGATAACAAACAACTATTAACTACCAGCTGTGTCAGGTGGCACAGCTGGTAGCCCAAGAATTCATTATACTTAGTTACCATGAAAGCTTCAGATTATACATTATAAACATGGTGATTGAAAAACTTATTGAGAAGTGAACCTTAGATGCCCATACCACAAACTTGCTACCAACAGCTGTCATAAACAACCTAAAGGTGTATCCTTTTACAAGCATTATGAAGTAACAGTGAAGAATGTGGAATTGTGCATTACAAAGAAACAGTGGAGTTTTGACACCTTATATTTTGGCCAGGTGTCAGAGCAGGATCCATTGCAATAGCGTAAAACCATAATTGAATCAGAGGGTAACAATCAATCAATCTCTTATAGGTTAAAAAGACAAGGCAGCAGTCATATCACATGCAGACTTACCATTGGACTGAAATAACATGTTCTTGTAAAATTTCTTTAAATTTGTTATGCTCATCTGGTAAAAATACTTTATTTTGTGTAGAACTTTGGCTCTCCCATTAGCAGCTAATGATGCAAGGAATCTTACAATAAAGTCTTTTGACCAGGATAGCTGTTAGAAATGTTTTGCAGTCCATTGATAGTTTCAGATACGTGGTAAGCGGTGTAATCCAGTAGTAAGGAACATACTTCGTTGGCGATGACTCTGTTCTTCATACTTGGCACATCTAGCTTTCCTTTCATGATACAGATAAAATTTGATTCATAATTTTTAGGTTATTTATTTCAAATATCTATTACCTAGAGCTGTCAAAAATAAAAACAAATCTCTTGCACTGGTGGTATTTGTCGGAGAAGCAGTTTTTGTGGTTTCCAGTTAACATTAGTTCAAGACTCTACCAACAGAATACTACTGTAGTTATAAAAATGGTACAAGTCACAAATAATCTGTGAAATGATATTGTTATCAGACAAGTACTTGGGTCTGCACTTAAAGAATGGTATTCCATTTTATAAGAAATACTGACGAGTTTTATTTTGATTCTGATGCATTCAGTTATTGTTTGTTTTCGGAAAAAAGCGCATCATCACTATTTGAACAAAGAACTTTTAAATCAAAATGCCAATGAACAGAAATCACAGGAAACATTTTAGGTTCTTGATTTTTGTTGCACAGAGTATATAAATCTTCACCCACTAATGTGGGTTGCAATTTCCACTCTCGTCTAACTTAACCTTCTGAATCCACTTACCATAAATGTTCTTTTTTCCCAATTGTTCTTACCTCAGAAGAACCTAAACCATTTTATTGGTAATTTCAAATATTTACTAATGCAGAAATTGTCACAAAATCTTCAGAAACAAACATATATATTTCTGACCATAATGTTGATGGTTGACAGAAAATAAAATTAATTCATCCTGGTACTAAATGCAGATTTTTTACAACAGATCTAATAGATCTGAAGACCTAAGTGTAGATGAGAGGATAATATTAACATGGATCTTAAAGTAACAGGGTGTGAGGATGGAGACTGGATTCATGTCTTAGGACAGACCAATGGTGGGCCCTTGTGAACATGGAAATGGACCTTTGAGTGCCATAAAAGGCAGAGAATTTCTTGAGCAGCTGATAATCTGCTCCATTGATTTGTTAATCTAACAGGTCTCTGCATAGAATTATATTGCACAATGCTTGCAGTTGTCTTTAAATTGTAAAATGATTGCTGCACTAAATTAAGACGTGAACCACGCCCAATAATTGAATTACTATTGATTATTATTTTCACTCTCTGCCACTGATGTGATATTGGGGGATTGTATTACGTCTTGTCCCACTATGCTGGTGAGTCTTGTCAATTGTTCTGTATTTAACTCAATACTACCACTCAGCTGCTGAGCAAGCATCCCAGTTTCTGAAAATCCAGCATCTGCAGTGTACCGGATGCATTTCTGAAACACAAAACGATGAGATTTCTTCTTGCTTTCTCCTTATGTCCTGTTTGCCTAACCTAGTAAATGGGCAATAAAAATGTGGATGAAATTGTAATTGTTGTGGGATTATGGACAGATGGAGAAACCTGGTTGTCAACACACTTAAAGTGGACACGTCTTGGAAAAAACGAAAAAGAAGCAACTGCATCATTTAATACAAAAATGGAATTAATTGCATCCCTCAGCTATAGCTAATCAATCCTAAAATAAATATGGAAAGCTAGAAGAATGAACTGGAACATGGGAACCAAAATAATTTAAATGGAAAAAAAATTATGGATTACCGTACAAAGAAATTACTACAGCATAACAGACCTATGGTGTGACAAAGAATCCTCTTCGAGAAAGTAATATTTGCTCGGGTGGTCAATAAATTATCTAAATTTTATGGGAAAAACCAGACAGTGGTCAGATAATATTAAAATGTACCGCTGAAAACTACAGAGTAGTGATGAGTGATGTATTGATGTCAGTGATCAGGTTAACTGATACTTAAAAATCATGTCACCACTAATTACTCCATGATTGAAGCAGCAGATATTCTGCTGATAGAGTTACTGTTTACTTGGCTATTAGTTGCAGTAACTAGATATTTCAAGAATATCCAGTCCATAGAACAGGGCAACAGCTGGAAGAACAGCACAAGACTTCCTAATCTACGACTCCCCAAAATGCAGTACAATGAACAATTAGTACTGTGATAATGTGAAACTCACAATTGCTTCGTCTGCTTTATTTTGAGATATGCACACATCCGTGAAAAGTTGCAGAGCTTCAATGCTGGGAACACCAACTATGCTATTTTGGTCTTTCTCCAACTTGTTGAGAACGTCAAGTGCCTGACTGAATTTTCCGCCACGCAAAGACAACAGCATTATATCTCCAAGCATCTGGCCAGTCCATCTGCAATGGAAAAATGGAATTAAATTGCAATACCTTAATCCATGCTCAGAATCTCTGTACCGACAATCAGATTTTGCAATTGCAACTGTAGTGTGATTTATTGTTAATTACTGTTGATACGCCCAGAAATGTTATCAAGTAAAAAATGCTAGTCAGTACTGTCAAAGAACACGAATAACAATTTGATTACTGTCATGAAAGATTAAGACGGTATGTCCTACTAGCCTCCCTCCTGCCTGGCCACTGTTATTTAAGAACCAAAGATAAACGACAAAGACAATACCACTACAATCCTACAATATTGATGTTATGTACGAGGCGCGTCCCAAAAGTAAGTTTCCCTGGGGCCATTTACAGAAACAAAACACAATTTCATGGAAATATTTATTGCAACAGATACAGCAAGTGTCCAGCTATTTTTCAACATATTCGCCACCGGAATTGAGACATTTGTCATACCGTGGGACCAACTTTTGAATACCTGTGTCGTAGAAGTCTGCCGCCTGGGATTGGAACCACTGTGTGACAACCATCTCTGCCTCTCTGTCATTCTCAAAACGCTGACGCTGAGCGGACAGGAATTTCTTGAGGTGTAGGAAAAGATGGAAATCACTGGGAGCGAGGTCCGGGCTGTAGGGTGAATGATTAAACGCCTCCCAGCTGAACTCCTGCAGGAGACTTGCTGTCCGTCGAGCCGTGTGCGGCCTAGCGTTATCACTGACCGCACTTCACAGGCGGCGGGAGCTGGAATAAGAACCTCCATCTTCAACAGCTGCAACGATGCTACTGTGAGAACGTGGGAGGTGCCGTTAGTGCATGCGCCATGCTACGTCATTGCTCTATCACGTACGCACAGTCGCTTCGCGCAATATAAGGTTTGCTAGCTGTGGGACGAGTGGGAAACTTACTTTGAGGACGCGCCTCGTAGTTTAAAATTATATATGGTATGAATGATAAATTCAAAGAGAAATGGCTCTGATCTATTTAAAGTTACTAACCATAATAGTTGATAAACTAATATAAAAGAATAAACTAAATAAACAGACTTACAACATGATACACAATTTCCATGTCTTTTATCACTTCAATAAATTTTAATTTTTGTAGAGTCAACATTTATTGCCAGGAAACTTCGTGTGGTATAGCAATATGTAATCATCACCTGAATTGTCTGTACTTCTCTTCATTTGCATTGACTTCCAGCTTTTCCCAGGCATTCCATGCAATTTGTGTAAACTTATCTGAGAGGTCACTTGATGGCTGAGGTTCATTCCTCACCATCCCACCCAAAAGGGCACCAACATTATTTGCTCGTTCCGTGTGGTCAAAAATGACCATATCTGACCAAAGCTTTGGGAAATACTCAGCAGCTCCATTCATATCAACAGTTTTTATTACCTCCTGTACACAAACAGTATATGATTGAAACATACACGAACAACATTACAAATCTTTTTTTTTTGTCCGTCTAATCGCAATAATTCTTATTAAATATTAAAATATTACAATAATTAACATTTAGAATATTAAATGATGTTCTTTATCGAAATATTCGATTTACATTAGACCATAATTTTTCATGTTTCACGACATGTTTCAGTTCCTAAAAGAACCATCCTCAGGTGTATATAATTATATAAAGCTTCAAAACGATAAATAATTCAAATACAATTTTCATACATTATGCTAGCGTACATTTTTATCAGATTTTTACCAGATGTCAAACGATGTTCTTTTTCAGATTTTTATTCCATTTTTAATAACACACTCGATGTAATATTTTAATATTTAATAAGAATTATTGTGATTAGACGGACAAAATTTAATATATACTTATTATATCACAATATGACGCAACTTTACCATCTTATTACAAATCTTACAACAAAATCAATCTTTATGACGAAATTCAAATTAGTACCAGCACAATGACTCTGCAACCACATTGTAAAAGTAAAGAAAGTTGTTCCTGTGCCCTAACGTGAAGGGACGGAGGTAAGTGGTTACGACACACTAGCCACAACAGTTGATAACAAAGAATATCATATTACCTCCATTACTGCTGGTTCTGGGATGTAAATGTGTGGGACAAGCTTATTGTAGTATTCCATGAATACTTCAAGTGGTTCCATATTGCAGAGAAGCACAAAATAATGACGACTGCAACAGACAAATACACGCTTACAGCATAACAGTAAACATTCAAGACTTGAAAAACACATGGGACTTACAACATTTTTAGATTTCTTAAGCACCTCATTCATCATACAGTTTCTGTATCTGTTGACTTTTTAATCAAATGGTATTTTAAATATCTGATTGCAGAAGTGGCACATCAGACAGTGAGCAAAGTGACAAGTGGTTCCAGCTTTCTGTGGGTGATGTGATTCAAAATGGCAAATGAAAATCTGGCTCTTGGGTGTCCTCTAATAGCGTCACGCCCATAAGCAGTACTGAAATACTTCATGCATGTAAGCCTGAATAAACAACACGCAATAACCTTTATTGTGTGGGAATATATGATTTAAAACCCTATAATACGGTGCCGCCGGCTGCATTTTAACTTCAGGCTTATGCGCTTTACCAGTATGCCACTGCTGGGCTTCAGATAAGCCTTCATGCACGGTCAATAGGGAATAAAGGACAATCCACATAATCATGTAGATGTTAGATTGATCATTTTAATTTATAATGTAATAGTAGGATGAAAGATTGGTTTTATGCTCTGTAGATATCATTACCGCCACGGTGGTCTAGCGGTTTGAACGCTGGCCTTGTAATCCTGGGGTCTCGGGTTCGATTCCCGGCGGTGCCCGAATTTATAACTTGTGTTGGGCAAGGCCGTGGTCTAGGCAACACGGAGTTTTCCTCCGTGGCATCCCAACAATTACTCCATTCACACACAGAAGAAGGCAATGGCAAACCACTTCTGGATCATCTGCCAAGAACGTATATGAACAGGTCCCAGTCCGAGAAGAGAAAAGGATGGAAGGATCCTGTTCATATGGACCTGTCGTCAGACAGAACACTAAATAATAAATAAAAGATATCATTATGAACATGCAAAATGCATGTCACTTAGTTGACAAAAATGCACTGATCTTTGTACTCATAAAACAATAAATCTTATGTCAATAAGATATTCTACTGCCTTTCATTATAATGAAATTTCATTACTGTGAAAAAAATTGTCAGTCTTCGTAACTTTGTTGAAATTTTAACGTGTAAGTGCATACATATGCACATTCCTACACCCATCCACACACAAACACACCAATACAATTAAACATGGCTGGACGGCCGGGGTTCGATCCCCGACGGGGGCAGAGGATTTTTCCTCTAGCCTCTGCGTCCAGACCGGCTCTGGGGCCCACCCAGCCTCCTCTACAATGGGTACCAGGATCCTTTCCCGGGGGTAAAGCCGACCGGGGCGTGATGCTGACCACTCACCCCCATCTAGTGCCGAGGTCAAAGAAGAGAGGAGCTATACCTCCTCTCCCCCCCAAGCGCCTACATGGCGTATAGTGGGACAAACTTTTACTTTTTTACTCTTGATCAGTATTAACAAGCACAGAATATACACTTTAATACTCATAATATCCTCGTGCATTCTTTGTAGTGTGCATTTAGAGGCATTAAATCCAAATTTTTCTATTGTTCCCACTTTGGCCATCAGATTGCAGTACTTCAAAGTCTACCTCACAAATTTCCTCATCCATAATTTTATTATCCCTGCTTATAGGACATTCATAAGTATGATTTTGAGGTCATGCAGAAATCAAATTTTATCCAAATCTGTCCACTGGTTCTCAAACTGAATCTACTGCGCAGGCGGATGAACGGACATGACCAGCCCATTATTTGTTCTCGCTATGCATTTTGTGCAAAGGATGCATAATAAGTATTAGGTGTCAGCTTCATCCTCCAAATATCTTAATTCTCATAAAACGTGCTACCATTTTCTGAGTTTATCCATAATTATTCTAGTCAGAATCATACAGCCTTAATACGATAACCATTCTAAATATGAAGACACTTACTAGTAGATGGACTCTTTGAATGAATCACCAATAAGATCATAGTTGTTACCCACGTGGAGTAACTTGTCGACACGATGTGCCAAATTAATATCCTGGAGGTGGTTCCTGCATATATCCATAGCCGTTACAAAGAAGAATGTGTCCTTGGGATTCTGTATGTTGAATGTCTGACCTTCAATTGCATCCATTATGTCTACCAAGATCGAACTAACAGGTCCTCCTGAAAATAACATTAAATTTTCGTTATTAGAGTTGCTGTCACCAAACTATATGCTTCATGAAGGCCACAGAAGAAGTCAACAGCCCTCCTGCCCCACTATATGTAACACCAAGTCAACAGTACAGCACTGCTAGCTTTGCTATGACGTTATACAATTTTGATGTCACCTTGAAGCACACAACTTGGTGATGTCTATTACAATGGCAGCAAACATGGAAATATATGGCATACGAAAACCAAGATTTTTAAATGACGTCTTGTGTGACGTGAAGTCTGGTAGAAGATTACTGCTTTTTTCAGAGATGCTTACTGGCTCCATCGTCAGGGTGAGAAGTACTTATCGTGAGAACCTGAAATCTCAACCAGATATTTAAAGTTCTCATTCGACTTTCCAGTATAGGAAATTAAACTTTCAATCTTTAATTTATAACACAATGAGTGAAATTTTCCTTAATCCTCTTTTTTGTGTGCAAATTTCCATTGTAAATATTGTCAAATTATATGCGCATGAGAACCCCATATTTTGACATAATCTGGGTTAGCAGGTAAGTCATCTTATATCCTACACAAACCAAAGCACACATTTTATTAACTAAGGCACAATGAACAAAAGGGTGAAACAAGAGTCTATTTTTCATATACTTTCCAGTGATACCATTTTTGTCAAAATTCCCAATAAAAGTCTAATGAACTCTCCTTGTTGGTGCATATATACATACATACTGACAGACTGAATGTACATATCATTTTTTTTTTATTTGTAGTGTTCTGTCTGACGACAGGTCCATATATTATGAACAGGATCCTTCCAACCTCTTCAGGTTGTCAGGGACCTGCTCATACATATATACATTCTTGGCAGAGATGATCAGAAGTGGTTTGCCATTGCCTTCTTCTATGTGTGAGTGGAGTAATTGTTGGGATGCCACGGAGAAACCGGGGAAGCCCCCGGAGGAAAACTCTGTGATGCCTAGACCACGGCCTTGCCCAACACAAGTTATAAATTTGAGCACCACCGGGAATTGAACCCGGGACCCCAGGCTTACAAGGCTAGTGTTCTGACCACTAGACCACCGTGGCAGGCTACATATCACATAAGAACAAAATAATTCTGTGTGTTGGCATTACTCACTCTCTTTGCAAAATGTAATAAGCACGAAGTAAAAACTTGCTAATGATGGCTGCACACCAACATGTTTGAACTCAGATAATGCTCTGAGTGCGTAAGTCTTCACATTTTTCTGCGGCCCCATGCTACTAACTGCTTCCAACACAGCATTCAGTGTTTCAGTATCTGGTGTTATATTTTGTTTTGACATGGCAGTCAACAGTTCCTGCACAGAAAAGAACATAATCAAATGAACACAGTAATGAAAGAATATTAATACAGACCCACAATCTACAAACACATTAATTAAAAAGAAGTTTGAAGAAGAACATTCATTCAAATGTTTAAAATTTTGTAGTAACGCAACCACAAACTGGAAAGTATTAACTGTGCAATTAATGATCCATTTCTTTCCACATTTCTGACAGCACAGACTTCCCACATGTTAAAATTGTTGCATAAAACCTCGTGGTCACAATGCTGCCATTTTTGAAATTCTTAACACATAAAGACAATGTTTCATATATAATTTTCATTAATACTTATTACCTACCTCCATACAAAAATTCATATGCCTAGCTCCAATGGTTTATTAGTTATCACCATCAAACTGAAAGTTAAAAATATATGCCATAAAGCCATATGTAGTTTCATATCCTTTAAAGGAAAGACTTAACAGGGCTGTAGAGTCGGTACTAAAACCTCTGACTCCGGCTCCTCCATAATATTAATATAATGGCAAACCTACTAAAATGGTAAATGGCACCATAAGAGATTTCATCACCACCACGTTAATCATCAGGCTACTTTTTTAGACTTATAACCTATATTTAAATATACGTCTAATGGCGACATTCTGACTGCTGAACAGTTCTCTGTGTTATGACAGTGAGGCATCTGAAGGTGATTAGATCTGCCTCAGTAGAATGCCTTCTCAAATTCACGTTTCTGAGCTCAGATAGCATTCGGATGTGCAGCACAACTTTCTGCTTCCTGGCCTGCTTCTTCTGTGAGCCAGTACAATTCATCCAGCTTCTTGATGATCACGTTGTTCACACCCATCAAGAGACCTCTTTAAGGCTGACCCTCAAGCTTAAAACAGGCGACAGCCACACCTTTTCCAATTAAAAATTCACGATCATCCTGTCATTTGACAGCATGTAACTTACGCAGATATGAAAGCTTTGCTAAGTAAAATAAGATTTTAAAGAAACGAATGGAACACAATTGTAATAATAAGATCTATTTACCTGAATGAGTTGCCATCTGTGCTCATTTCCCTCATGTAAGTAGCAGGCAACACGAATGAGTGAATTAAATGCATCCCTGGTTAGCAAAATTCCTCTTGCTTGCGTTTCTTGGTACAACCGCCATGCTCGATCAACTTGGAAGAAACGTGTCATTCCCTGCAGCAATGTGCAGTATGCAGGTGACCCTGGATGGTCCAATGAACGGAACACATTCTCAGCCAAGCCATTATCCCTTGAGCAACAAAGCGCATCCATTACCTGCCTTATTTCCCTCCATTGCTACAAAGAATGGTCATTTCGTGGTGATAACACTTAGAAAAAACAGTAGCCAATTTTAAGATTAATCACTCCCAGCATTCATCTGGAAGCCAAAAGTAAATGGCAAAGCATTTCTTTTCCACAACTTTGCAAACAAAATACAGATGTACAACATATTATGAGGCTCGTCCACAAAGTAAGTTTCCCTGGGGCCGTTTACAGAAACAAAACACAATTTCATAGAAATATTTATTGCAACAGATACAGCAAGTGTCCAGCTATTTTTCAACATATTCGCCACCGGAATTGAGACATTTGTCATACCGTGGGACCAACTTTTGAATACCTGTGTCGTAGAAGTCTGCCGCCTGGGATTGGAACCACTGTGTGACAACCATCTCCGCCTCTCTGTCATTCTCAAAACGCTGACCGGACAGGAATTTCTTGAGGTGTAGGAAAAGATGGAAATCACTGGGAGCGAGATCCGGGCTGTAGGGTGAATGATTAAACACCTCCCAGCTGAACTCCTGCAGGAGACTCGCTGTCCGTCGAGCCGTGTGCGGCCGAGCGTTATCACTGACCGCACTTCACAGTCGGCGGGAGCTGGAATAAGAACCTCCATCTTCAACAGCTGCAACGATGCTACTGTGAGAATGCGGGAAGTGCCGTTAGTGCATGCGCCATGCTACGTCATTGCTCTATCACGTACGCACAGTCGCTTCGCGCAATATAAGGTTTGCTAGCTGTGGGACGAGTGGGAAACTTACTTTGTGGACGTGCCTCGTATTACAGCAACTTGCTGTTGGGGTTATGAAGGCATATATAATGCACTCCACTTCCATCACACAACAGCAGTAGTGGGTGGAGAGATGCATCATCTACTCCGGCTCCTTGTGCCTATCTAGTAGTTAATACACACTGACATTGTACGATAAAATATTCAAACAGAAGTCAATAAAGCCAGATGTCAGTGACATGTAACAAGGTTAAAACTCATGCTAACGTATCAGGGTTGTCACCCAGCATATTGCAGCCAGTGCTTGGCAGGTAAAACCTCTGGCATCCGATGCCGTACCTTGGGAAATCTAGCAGGATCTGTCTGACACTAAGTTCTACATGATAAGGGGCGCACACACATGGGGTGGATTGGCAGACAGAAGATTGCTGTGTGTTAGATGGGTGTGGCCAAACCTCCGGCAATTCACCACAAACTTGTTCAAGCAGAGAGAGCAACAAGACCTTCATAGGAGGAATGTCACTAGCCTCGAATCTTGCTGCTCGGTGTGTGTGGTCCCAGTCCTGTAGCCACATGGCCAAGATACACAGGTGAAGGGCAGTTTTAAAATCTAAACTGTACAAACCAAGTACCAGGGTACCTCGAGGGTCTACTGCAGTGAAGGGGAAGGGAGAGGAAAGGGAATGCTACTATCTAGTGGGATTATAATATAGTGTGTCAAAAACAGGGTTATAATTAAGATTGCTGTCTTCTGGGTTATTGCGCTGTGTAGTCTGGGAGATTTCCACCGTTTCAGAGGCCATACTGAATCCGTCATCAGGGCGATGAACATAACCCAGCAATCTTCAAACTCACAGCTGCGAAAACCTCAAATCCTACAGAGTTATAATTATCTATATTAGTGTCACTCAACTTTTGTATAATCGCACAAGATTGCTCTCACAGGGAATTATAATTATCAACTTACGACAAAGACATTCGAGTGCTTAAAACAATTTTAATACCCGCAGTTGCTATGCTAAGCCTACCACAGCCTCAGCAGAGTGAGCTCTTTCAGACAGTTACTTCAGGGTGTCTGACAGACTTTCAAACTACATACTGTAACACGAAAGTAAACACGTGGAGTCTCCTTACTTCCAAGTCTTCCGCTGTTTATCTTTATGCGAGCCACCATGTCTGAACCAACGCTCTTCAATTAAGTCTTCTGGCAGTGTATCTTCACAGTTATAGAAACACAATAACTCTAGAAATGACTGCTTTGTTGACTCAGATATACCTGGTAACAAAAACATCATCTCTGTTTAATTTCACTTGAACTGTAATTAACAGAAATTATGGCAACAGTATTAGCAGTAGCATCAGCATGTTCAAAAGCAGCTCAGGTGCTGTCGAAATTTGTGCCTGTCTCCTAGTTAATATACAGAGTCAAAGTGTGATAAAAATGTTCATGTAAAACAGTTATAAAATGTGCAAGAAGTTAACGGCTTGTAAGAAGGTTCAATCTCACATTAAAATATCAGGGTCATCACGTAAAACATTGCTGATGGTGCTGGGCAGGTAGAGCCTCTGGGGCCTGGTGATATACAGCAGGCAAAATGCATCTGACAATAAGTTATATAATACATTAAAAGGAGCCCAAATGGGGTTAAATTCAGACGAAAGATGGCTGAGTGTAAGATGGGTGTAGCAAACTCTCATGTAAGACATCACAACCTCTTCAGAGCAGACAGTGATAAGAAGACCTCCATGGTAGTGCCACAAGAAACACATCTTGCAGCTTGTTGCCTTGGGTGTAGTCCCAGTCCTGTTGCCATTTGGTCAAGATGTAACGATGGATGAAATTCTTAAAGTACAGGCAGAAGACATCACGTACCAGAGTGCCTTGAATTGTGGCATCACTGGCAGCAGGATCTGCAACCTCATTCCCACCAATACCTACATGGTCTGCTACCCATGTTAAGGTTATAATAAAATCCCATTTGGAGAGTATTTATGATGTATGATGCGCGTAGTTCCAAGACGAGTGGGTGGGTGAAATCAGGTGCAGCCACGGACCGCACCGAGGAAGTCTTTACGCAGCAAAAGAGACTTCCTTGGAGGAAAGTACCCACAGTATTAAGATCCTTATAGACCACAAGGAGCCTGGTGGAAAAAACTGAACTGAAGGAGTTCTGTTGAAATTTAAGAGAATGTACTTGAAAGTATATTGCGTGGTCACAGATTCCCCGACAGTGACGCCTCACATGATGCTGTCAGGGAGTGGGTACGAGACACCCCCAAACAATGGTTTCGTGAGGCAATACGGAAATTGCCAGAGAGATGGTAATGGTGCATCGACCTCCAGGGAGAATATGTGGAACAGGCCGAAGTATAACCTGGGAGCCACCACCATCAAGGATCACATAATCCAGGTTAGTCTAAATCATTTGTATACGCCCCTCGTACATCATCCCTCACAGATATATTTGCATAGTTGGTGAATTTAAGTCAGTAAATTCAGTACTCAGTGCCCACAGGTAACAAGTAGTTCAATCTACTGAAATCAACAGAACAGGTGCCACTTCTTGGTGAAACCTGAAGACAAAGGAAGATCCAACATTTGAAACGCTGACCTCTTTTAAAATAACTACAATATCAACTGATGACAAAGTCCAGTTACTGATATTAGGGGCCCAAGCACATGACAGGATATCACAGCACCATCTTTCCTTAGACACCTCCCCACCAAAAAAATGTAAATGCTGCAATCAAGTTATTTCATGTCACAGCAAACTGCCACCTATATTTTGTAGCCCTCTCACAAAATCTCGTCTAGCATTATTTCAGTTCTTTTGCGTCACTTACTCTGTCCTTTATTCTGTAATAACTGGTAAACTGCAATAGCATCTGATACCAACACATCATCGATAACTTTCTTCAGAACCTCTTCATCTACCTCACTGTTCTCATCATACACAGGTCGTGGATAAAATACCTGAAATAAAATCAAATCTATCACATATAGAAGATTATAATAACAAATCTTGAAACAATGCGTATAACTGCTAAATACAAGATCTGTAAATACAGCATAATAGTGGTTACGCCTTCTGTTTTGTACCAGCGAGGTGCTCAGCTGACATCAGCCAAAGCACCAGGTAAACTGATGAAGGGATTTTGTGATTTTCCACAGTCCGTCTGGTCCTAGCCCAAAACAGGCCCAGACACTTCCTTCCCCACACGTAGATTCACCATAGATAATCCTCTCATCTTACCACCGCACAAGTCAACGGCAGAAGGGTTAGACAATTCAGTCATTCATGTAATTCACACATATTTTAAATTGTCAGGAGTTTTAATTTATATATGTTGCAGACATTTATTTATTTATTTATTTGTAGTGTTCTGTCTGAAGACAGGTCCATATGAACAGGATCCTTCCATCCTTTTCTCAGACTGGGACCTGTTCATATACGTTCTTGGCAGATGATCCAGAAGTGGTTTGCCATTGCCTTCTTCTGTGTGTGAATGGAATAATTGTTGGGATGCCGCGGAGGAAAACTCCGTGTTGCCTAGACCACGGCCTTGCCCAACACAAGTTAAAGTTACAGAGCGTTCGCGTACAGTTTGGAACATGAACACTAAATTTTTATGTAGTTCGAAGACGTGGAATAATGAGACCAAATACAAAATGACTTACTTATTTATAAAGCGACGGGAAGAAGGATTATTTTAGTGTTCTGTCTGACGACAGGTCCATATGAACAGGATCCTTCCATCCTTTTCTCAGACTGGGACCTGTTCATATACGTTCTTGGCAGATGATCCAGAAGTGGTTTGCCATTGCCTTCTTCTGTGTGTGAATGGAGTAATTGTTGGGATGCCACGGAGAAACCGGGGAAGTCCCCCGGAGGAAAACTGAGTGTAGCCTAGACCACGGCCTTGCCCAACACAAGTTATAAATTCGGGCACCGCCGGGAATCGAACCCGAGACCCCTGGATTACAAGGCCAGCGTTCTAACCGCTAGACCACCGTGGCAGTATTAATTCACAAGTGCTTCATAATTGATTTTACACTTTCACCAGCAAATTCTCATCACTCCTCACTTCCGTAGTGTGATAGAGGTAGCATGATTTTCTGAAATGTCAGCAGTAGAACCCAGATCTACATGACGACAGCACCCAAACATAAAATCAAAAATAAGGGTTTCATAGTCCATCATCTTTCTATTTTAAAAATCTCTTGTCTATTGCCGAAGAGTAGGAAATGAGGTTACTTCGTATTTTAACAATTTAAATGAAAATCAAATTTGGTCTGATTAATAAGAATCGCCATCTTCAACACAGGATTTCAAATTATCATGAACAATGCAAACTTCTTAAGCAGGATTCTTTTCAGTGGTCATCATACTTAAGCAAGATCTGTAAGCTGACATTATTTTATTAATTCCATAAACAGAAAGTCCTCTCACTGAATAATAAAAGGAGGCAGCAACATTATGGATATTCTAAAGTCACTTAAATGCAAGTGTACAAGGATACTAACTTAATTAAGATTAGACAACATGCTATTAAACCAACTTTTATTTTATATATATATATATATAAAGACAAAATACAACAAATTACCTGTACTGGAGGATATGAAACTTTGTGCTGAAAAAGTTCTGAGTTCTGTGCTCGGATCCACTGAGCTGCTTTCCGTCCAGATTCTTTTGACAAGGCAAATGACCTCTTCTGAACATTAGACACGGGTATTAAATAAGGATCATCGTGATATTTATAATGTGCGGCTGTCAGATCAGGCTGAACTGTGCTGGCCAATGCCTTTATAAGAACATAAAAACTGAATTAAAGTGTGAACAGAAAAATGAAATGAGCAGGGGTACACAAAAAGTTCAGTTTGTCATATATCATTTCCTAAAAACTAACAGACCGATACTTACCTTCAGTATATCTGTTGGGCCTCTATGGATTTTTTTTGGTATAATTACTTCCTGGCCTTTGGCTGAAGAGTATTGTTTAATAATACCTAAAGTAATATTCAGCTGTCTTCTGTTCTGAGACCTAATGGAAGACAGAGAAAATGAAGCCTGTTCATTTAAATGTTCTGTAGTATAATTCAATCAATTCTCTTTCAAAATGTAGGATCTGGGCAAGCGTGTATATGATGTCAATAGGATAGATTAGGAGAGCAGTATGGTATGGTGAAATGTGCTGGCTACCCTGCACTCAGGCACAATACCAAAATTTATCTGGCCTATAACAGTCGTACCACTCATGACAATAGATACTTTAAAGCTAGTTTACTTTGCTTACTTCCACTCTGTAGTGTCATATGGATTAATCTTTTGTGGAAATTCAACAGACTGTAATAAAGTTTTTTACATGCAAAAGAAAATAATTAGAATAATGGCAGGTGTCAAAAGCAGGGTTTTTTGTAGAAAATTATTTTGTAAATTTAATATTCTTCCACTTGCAAGTGAATTTATACTCTGCTTGCTATCATTTGTGGTAGAAATCTTGGATAAATTTAAAAGAAATACAGATGTACATAATTTAAATACAAGACGTAAACATGATCTCTATGTGCCAAATGCTAACTCACTAAAAATCAAAAAGGAGTGTACTATACAGGTATCAAGTTATTTAATAATCTTCCACCAACAATTAAAAGTCTAAATTATGATTTAAAGGTATTCAAGCCTGCATTGAAAGATTACCTCTTCACTCACTCATTCTATTCTGTAGATGATTTCATCTCTGCTGAAAATTTTTAAGCTTTATGTATATCTATAGTGTATATGTAAAGCAAGTTTTCTATTTCTATTTAAAATTTAAAATTCTGAGGTTATGTATATTATCATACTTGTACTGCAGAATCTGAAGTTTATGTTCATTGATATGTGAAATACGTTCTTGTACTTGTGTTGAAAGTTCTGAAGTTTAAGTATATTGTATGAAATGCCATGTTCTACATCCTTTGGTTGAATCCTAAGAAGGATCTATGGAATGTAAATAAACTCTACTCTACTCATACGGAGCAAAACAGGTCTTTCCAGAACGTTTTGGATAACGTCCTAAATGTGCCGGCACTGCCAAACTAAACCTTACCTTAATGCTAGATGTATAGTCGGATTCATGTTGCAGGCTGCACGGTATTTCTGTACTTAATGCTTGGTGTTATGCAATAATATAATTACTCATAGTCATAAGTATCACAACAATTTTAATTCTGCAATACTAAATCCATATTTCTCTCAGGTCAACCTCCTGTAAATAAATACGTACCATACATAACTACCAAGCACAGATAATTCAAGAAAGTACTACCACGGAATGAGCACAGTTGAACTACACCACAGTAATACTAAGAAATTAAAGACATGGCCAAATTCCTTCAAGACCCCTGGAAGAGCAGGACACGCTAGAGCTCGCAGAGGATCAACCTAAGCTAAAGATAGAAGAAAACAATTTGCTATTTATTTCACACCTAATTTTTTTAAGGGCCAGTATTAAAAATGCGAATGTTATTAGATTCAAATATGCATACAATTTAGCATTCATAACTATTAGATTCGACCACTTAAAGAGATCCAAATGAAGATTACCATTTAAGGTCGAAACATGTAGTGGATTTTAATAAACATCGAGACTAATCACAAAACTTGTGTAGATGGACTGTCAATCTATCATCACGCAACAGGATGCATTTCTAAAAACCGCTTACAAGAGTTCAAAAAGATTGATACAATAGCGAAAATTAGTATTATAATCATAAGAGAAAATATGTATCAAGCTGTGGATCCATTAGATTCTAGTTTTGGTTCACATTATTGTTTTTGATATGTTAATTAAGAGCACAAACATATAAATATTTTCGGTTTGTCTTCGCGCAACATCAACGGATTGGTAACTTGTGTCTTAACCAATTGCAAAACACGTGACCTATAACACCATCTGTCCGCTCGTTCTGAAATTACTGTACGTACGATCTAGCAGCCAGTCGATAACAACGGTAACTACTATCCAACGTATTACCCTCATGCGACCCTTAGCCACTCTATAGGATTAATTAATTTTAAAAATTGAAAATGAATGTCTTCTGGGATTTTACATCATACAGTCTGGTAAAAACTAACCAATGTTTGAAAGGTGTTTACTGCAGTAAGTACTTCTAAAATTCCAATAAATTTTTTGATAAATGTTTTGGACATCAAGTGGAGACATCCTGTTATCATATACTAAAGATAGCTTCCTTACCTTTTCTGTTTAAGTAACACTGATAAAGTACTTATTACGAAATTGTTACAGTCCATTATGTGATAGTAAAGAAGTATTTTAATAATTACAATTCTGCCATTTGTACAGGGATGCAAAAGCTCATCCCAATAATTTTTGTAAGTGCCTGTGAATGATAACAAATACATTTGACAACTAAAAAGCATTTTTGCAAAGCCAGCAAGAAATGTTATAATACATTGTGATTGCTCGACAAGAAAGTGCTACAAACTAATGTCTCCTGAGACTGATTTTCTTTAACTGATTGGTACCTGAGAGGGGAAAGAAAAACACTTATGTGGCTTATAAATGAAATTTTAATTTCTTCTTAAAATTCAGGAAAGTCTTATACTCCCACAAACACAGTACCTTTAATCTGTATGTAGTCATCACATGACACTGACATATCCAGTGTGAGAAATAACCTTATTATAAACCTGCTACTGTGTTAATCTCTAATAACTGAGAAGAAACAGCCTGGATGATGCTTCATGAAACCAGTCCTTGAACTTGAACTTTTTCTAGTTTATCTGGAGGAACATCAGTAGGTTTGGTTTTATGCCCTTGAAATATGTGCCCTTCCAGGTCGATAGCATAATTATGATCCACGGGACTAATCAAGGCATCTTCAATTGCTTTGTCAATATTGTCAGCTGTGATGTAAAATTTGGCTCTCTCCTAAAATAAAACAACGGAACAAAAATAGAAATCAATGGTGGACTACAATATCCATTTTATAATTTACTTCAATATCTCTACTGGAGACTGCAGCAGCCATCTTGTGTTCCACTCAAACGTCCCTAAAATGTGCCTACTGTTACATTAACACTATATTATTAGACATTTTACAACTCTAGAGATGAATGAAATCCATGTTATGGGATATATACGTCCCTTTCAGCCTCCAAAGGTTTATGTTCAAACTGTTTCAAGCGAATTTCAAACACACATGAAAGATTTGCAGTGTAATTTGGGCATGAGAAAACAATCCTTAAATTTCAAATGGGCATTATTATTGTAGTCATATTCTAAAATTGATAAACAAAGTGACATTATCACCTTTTCCTCTCGAACCATCTGTTCTGCTTTCTCCAGCTGTTCTTTTTCTCGCTCCTCAAAAGCAATTATCTTCGCAAGAATGATCTCCTTTCTAGCCTCCTGTATTTTCGTGAGACGTTGCTCTCGTAGCAGAGCCACTTGTTTGTTCCATTCCTCATTCTCCTTCATACAACGTAAATGTTCTTCTTCTTCATCTTTACTTCCCTGCAGAGCTGCTAAACTATTGGCTGACGTTTCTTTAAACTCTTGCCTAAAGTAATTTCTGTAACAATAAAGGCCTGAAGTTGAGATTTCAGGTTCTTATGGTGGAAAATATGAAGATGGCCGTCTTTGGGGGTGTTTCACTGTATAGTCCAGCAGAAGTTTACTGATGTTTCAGAGATGGGTGCTGTCAGCAAAGATGTCTGCAATGTTGGTGAACTTCTACTACACTGCAGAACACATCCCAGAAGACAGCCATTTTCATGATTTGAAGTTATTCACATACAGCATGAGCCATAAGATACATATCCATGTGACATCCATTTCCTTTAATGTAGACTGCAAACAGTCACAGTGATGTAACCCTGTTAATTGAAGCTCGGGAGAATATTCGAACTAAACACAGAGGAAGTGACAGGAGGCTAGGGAAACTGTATAATAAAGAGCTTCATAATGAAGACTGTCTTCTGGGATGTTACACCTTGCAGTTTTACAGAAACTGAGCAACAGAAGAAAACCTGAAATCTCACAAAGCTTCATAATGTGTATTCTTTGCCAAGTATGATTAATATGAAATTAAGAAGAATACAATGGGTAGGACATGTGGCATACATTGAAGGATTAGACATGCATGCACAATTTTAGTTAGAAATCCTGAAGGGAAGAGACTACTTAGAAGACTTATATATAGATGGGAGGATAATATTAAAATAAACCTTAGACAACCTGTAAATGCTGATAGGATTCATCCAGCTAAGGATAGGGACCAACAGTAATATTTTGTTAACACGATAATGATCTTTCAGATTTCATAAAATGTGGGGAATTACTTGACTATCTGAATGACTATTAGTTTTACAAGGACTCTGTATGATCTGAAGCTTTCACGGCAGCTAAGTATAACAAATTCTTCTTGGGCTACCAGCCATGTCAGGTGGTTGAATGGAGAAAACACCAACATTTCAAGAACCATCTTCATTCTCATCCTCAGTGTAGCCCAAGAATAATTCATTTACAAGGACACTGCTCCATAGAGTTAGTTACAGACACATCCACTGTGATAACTGGGAGACCATAATCATACATCCAATTTGTACATATTTGGTTGGTATGTCTCTTCATTTTCAACAACATCCCCAATTTACTTACACACACTGTCTCGACATATGTACAGTTTGTTCCACATCTTCCACTTGTGATTTCCCCAAATAGTACATAATATAACAAAAGTGGTTGTAAAAATTTTTCCTCTTGAAGAGATAACAGGGAAAATTATCAGCAGTTCCCTATTTAAAAATTAGGCACTGGAAGTCCAAAAAAATATTGTGTTAACCAATCATACAATATATTTTCTCTTGGAGAGGCAACACAGAAAATACAGCATTTGCCAGTTTCAAAAATCAAGCTCAGCAGTGTTTGAAACATATACAATGATGAACCGGAGAAAAAAAATAAACATGCCCCTCTTGGACAGAAAAACCCTAGATGAATAGTGATTTTTCTAATGCAAACACTGGGCGTAGCAGTGTCAAAAGAAAACGGCGTTAACTCTCCCCAGCCTATGTCAGACTTTCCAAAAGGTTTCTTGGTCCTGAAGTGTGCATTTATTAGTGAGTGACCAACCCACTGACTACTGTGCATATGAAACCCAGATATCTTTCCTACAAAATTTCCAAAACACATACATACCTAACGGAGCGCATTTCCGTTCTGTAGCGATCATGTAATCTTTTGAGCTCAATGTCTTCACTTTCATCAATTTTCGGTCGTTCTGGAATACGAAATAACTTGCTTTTTGCCACAGGCAACCACCTCGGTTTCCTTTTCCATCTCACACATTGTATGCACACAGGACTTAATTTTAAATCATTCCACACTTGTAACCCCAGATATTGCAAATTAGGATAGATTGCATTTACTGACCGTAACATGGCTGTATCGCATGAACATAAAGTAAATTTACTCTGCCGATTTTTCACAGCATAATATACTAAAAAAGATCACAGACAACAAACATTATTAATCACAATTATAGGTCATCATACATCACACACAAAACCAACACGCAGATCAGTAATTCAAGTAGGCAACAAAGAGTAATTGAGACCAAATTTTAATGTTCCGAACTCGGAAGTGGCTTGATCTCACTCAACCCATGATAGGTAATAAGAGAAAGAGACTTTAGTAACATGTAACGCTTACGCGCATATCGTGCTGTCACCTACCAACAGAGGACATGAAACTAGTGACGGGGAACAACCACAAATTACATTAGGATTGGTAACTAAACTTACAGTTTCGATCGCAAGTGACTTACGACGTACTTATATATATCGCTGTTATCTATCCCCATGTCATTAAACTACTGTAAAAGTAACCTGGTATTAAATAACAACGCGATCCACTTACAAGAGCTGCTTCCTCCTCTAAACACTGGATTTAATATTTAAAAAAACAACTAATAAGATAACTTATTGCACTATGTCGTCTGCTGAAACTGACCTACTCTTCTGTGGTACTTCAATCATCTGGGTAATGCTGTTATGATAGAGGTACTTGGCATTTCACTCAGTTTTTACCATACTACATGGAGCAATATCCCAGAAAATAGTAACCTTAATAGTAGCCACTGTGATAACCTGAAATGCCACCTCTACAAACTTCATCCCTGATTAATGCAGAGGCACTTCTCCACTGTACAAAATGAATGTATGTGAACTGTTTAAAACTAGAGTCATTGCAATCAGGAGGAAGTTTCTCAGCAGTTTATTTAAAAAGACCAAAAATATGCTCCACATCAAACATTAAAATTTTATGAAACTAAGTTCAGTAAACAATGACATGGGTAGAAGAGCGTAGTATTTGTAATCAATGAGGATAGCTGAGGTTGGATACAGCTAAATGGAAAATATGTTTCCTTTACAGATGACTTATGCTTGAAAGTCTTATAAAACACTGTTTCCCAGTTTCTGTAATTATAAATTATATGTAACAAGCAATAATACATAAGTTTCCATGTATTCACAAAATTACCACATTTACACAAGAGAATGTAATGCCAGAAAACCAAAGAATATATATTACTCAAATCAGAAAACAAGTACTACATTTAAAAACCTCCAAGTAATCTGAAGAATTGAATTAACTCTGCAAAAAAACAAACATTTGATGAAACACAGTATTAAAATACTAGTATAAACTAGTTTCTAAATTAAACATCCAAACTCTCTCAACTACAATCTTCTTCATAATTTTATTGAGAAAATCTCTTGGGAAATGCCTATGTGGAACAAGGACATGGGAAGATAACAGTAAGTTCTACAGAATTAGGATGAGAGACTCAATGTAGCTAAGGATCATGTTCAATCGCAATTTTTGACATTGGCAGTGTTCCACGTAATACAATGTTAGATAGACTACTCACAAGATTAGAGCAGTTTCATGACTGTGGGGGCTGTGGAGTTCCCAGTTTGCAGTAGTGTTAGAGCATAACCTAGGCCTACTTATTTCAGTTTTTTTCAAACTCAGAATTAATGACAAATACAAATAATGTAGACAATATACTGCCAAACAACATTTTCAATTTAAGGTTATTATAATTTTTTTTATAGATTCCAACCAATCAAATCATCCAGTAACTTCATGTGACTAAGCCAATCAACCCTCCAAAAAGATTTAGCACAAATTATTATAAAAGTAGAAGTTGCTATTATGAAATATCTCTAATAAAGTTAAATAGAATTCTATGTTGTCTTTGTCACCCCCACAGTGCTATTCACATCACCTATTTGAAATTATGTGCTCTAATAACAAAAAAACCTGCAAAAACTATCACACTAACTGCAACCACTTTTAGCACCTGTTTAATAGACTACAGAACATTTAATGTGCTTTAATTGTTACTAATATTTTGTTCATTTAAATACTAATGACTTAAGACAAGAGTATAACTGTTTTGATAGTTCTGGGTTTAGCTTTTAATTGCCCTGCATATTAAAGGGAATTAATGGAAAAAGGTTGGAATGACTGAACGATTACATAAATTTAAGTACAATTTGGGACAATCTAGAGTAAGTCGACTGGGTTACTGGGCATACCAGTTACTTCCCAGATTGTGGCTGCTAATCTTCGCGACTGTTCCAGTACACACGATGAGGTGGCAAGGCCCAGATGAACGCAATACAGCTCGTAGCAATGGACTTTACAAAGTGATGTCTTAGGGAAGCAAAATTCTGCCAGTTTCCTTCAAGAAATAAATTCAGTTAATTGTGGAGCTATAATAATGAAAGCAGGGCATTTTTTATTTAAATTTAGGTCATAAAATTGATTTTCCTCCTTCTATTTTTATAATCACAGAAGCTATCTACACAAAATGAACAGCAGATATGCTCATCTTCATTATGACATGTATGTAGCAACAAAAACTGGTTAAAGATCTGCACATTGCTTTGATAGCACCTTGTTTTCTATAGGAAATTATACATACTACATGGACAACATTCTATATTTAATTTAGTTTTGACAGAAAACATAAAATGCGTGTACTTACTGGTAAAAGTCTCCACATAGGATTCCTGGCCTTGGAAAATTCTTTAACGCGGCAGTCGGAAATATTTTGGGTTTCAATGGTGATGCCTAAAAAAATACTGAATAATATTAATAAAAATACCTATACATTTTCGTCATACACAATTATTATTCCAAAAATGTGTTAATGATGTAGTTCCTTAGTATTTGTATTGAAGTTAATGACAATGCACCTACATAGGTTAATTGCACCGTTGACCATTTATCCTTCAGGATGTAAATGAGCAGAATTAATGAAACAAGGAATAGACAAACTACAAAACTGTTCATAATAAAGGTTTGAATTATATGACCCAACAAAAATGTACCTAATGAACACAATTCTCTTTCTAAAATCAATAATCTATATCCTGTAACAGACAGTTACACATTTGTCATCATTTGATTGCTTGTGCTCGCCGTGGACAATATGTATACTCCGTCTATTCTATTTTGAGACCTGCAGCGCACCTTCCGTAGGTACAGAGAAGGTCCTGTCATAGATTAGACAGATTTCATATCTTCCAGGAGATGGGTAGCAGGGGAGACCGGGGTTATTTGTTACTTGGGGCAAGTAGTTATTTTCAAATTTTAAAGTAACTATCACTTGCAAGCCCTCCACCAGGTATCAGATAGAAGCCATATGGGGTCTCCCTATCTCCGACTCAGCAGTCTCTAGGCAGTTGGTCATAGATTGTGGACACTATAAAATGTGTTTTCTTTTTCTCTTAGTAATTTTTTTCCATTTTAGGTACCTACTTTATAATCAGAACTTATTTTAAGTTTGTAAAATGTGATTCATGGCAAGTGAACTAATATATAGGTATTTTGTTGTCATATTTTTAAATCTGTATAAAATTTGTGCTCTGATAATTCATTGTAAAACAAAATGGTACGACGAGAGATAAGTTCTTATGACAAACGAGGGATTAGTTGTTACACTAACAACTTGTCCCATTGTTTTATTTGCTTCTGATTTTGTTCAGGTTAACACATACAAGAAACTATGAGGCTATGAACAGAGGCACAACACCTAGAGAAACATATGACAGTGGGAAAAAAAGTTTTGGCTAAAACTAGACGTGTACAAAAAGCTTCAGCAAAGTATTCAATTCATTTTGAGACATAACAGATGTCTTTGTCACCCCCACAGTGCTATTCACATCACCTATTTGAAATTATGTGCTCTAATAACAAAAAAACCTGCAAAAACTATCACACTAACTGCAACCACTTTTAGCACCTGTTTAATAGACTACAGAACATTTAATGTGCTTTAATTGTTACTAATATTTTGTTCATTTAAATACTAATGACTTAAGACAAGAGTATAACTGTTTTGATAGTTCTGGGTTTAGCTTTTAATTGCCCTGCATATTAAAGGGAATTAATGGAAAAAGGTTGGAATGACTGAACGATTACATAAATTTAAGTACAATTTGGGACAATCTAGAGTAAGTCGACTGGGTTACTGGGCATACCAGTTACTTCCCAGATTGTGGCTGCTAATCTTCGCGACTGTTCCAGTACACACGATGAGGTGGCAAGGCCCAGATGAACGCAATACAGCTCGTAGCAATGGACTTTACAAAGTGATGTCTTAGGGAAGCAAAATTCTGCCAGTTTCCTTCAAGAAATAAATTCAGTTAATTGTGGAGCTATAATAATGAAAGCAGGGCATTTTTTATTTAAATTTAGGTCATAAAATTGATTTTCCTCCTTCTATTTTTATAATCACAGAAGCTATCTACACAAAATGAACAGCAGATATGCTCATCTTCATTATGACATGTATGTAGCAACAAAAACTGGTTAAAGATCTGCACATTGCTTTGATAGCACCTTGTTTTCTATAGGAAATTATACATACTACATGGACAACATTCTATATTTAATTTAGTTTTGACAGAAAACATAAAATGCGTGTACTTACTGGTAAAAGTCTCCACATAGGATTCCTGGCCTTGGAAAATTCTTTAACGCGGCAGTCGGAAATATTTTGGGTTTCAATGGTGATGCCTAAAAAAATACTGAATAATATTAATAAAAATACCTATACATTTTCGTCATACACAATTATTATTCCAAAAATGTGTTAATGATGTAGTTCCTTAGTATTTGTATTGAAGTTAATGACAATGCACCTACATAGGTTAATTGCACCGTTGACCATTTATCCTTCAGGATGTAAATGAGCAGAATTAATGAAACAAGGAATAGACAAACTACAAAACTGTTCATAATAAAGGTTTGAATTATATGACCCAACAAAAATGTACCTAATGAACACAATTCTCTTTCTAAAATCAATAATCTATATCCTGTAACAGACAGTTACACATTTGTCATCATTTGATTGCTTGTGCTCGCCGTGGACAATATGTATACTCCGTCTATTCTATTTTGAGACCTGCAGCGCACCTTCCGTAGGTACAGAGAAGGTCCTGTCATAGATTAGACAGATTTGATATCTTCCAGGAGATGGGTAGCAGGGGAGACCGGGGTTATTTGTTACTTGGGGCAAGTAGTTATTTTCAAATTTTAAAGTAACTATCACTTGCAAGCCCTCCACCAGGTATCAGATAGAAGCCATATGGGGTCTCCCTATCTCCGACTCAGCAGTCTCTAGGCAGTTGGTCATAGATTGTGGACACTATAAAATGTGTTTTCTTTTTCTCTTAGTAATTTTTTTCCATTTTAGGTACCTACTTTATAATCAGAACTTATTTTAAGTTTGTAAAATGTGATTCATGGCAAGTGAACTAATATATAGGTATTTTGTTGTCATATTTTTAAATCTGTATAAAATTTGTGCTCTGATAATTCATTGTAAAACAAAATGGTACGACGAGAGATAAGTTCTTATGACAAACGAGGGATTAGTTGTTACACTAACAACTTGTCCCATTGTTTTATTTGCTTCTGATTTTGTTCAGGTTAACACATACAAGAAACTATGAGGCTATGAACAGAGGCACAACACCTAGAGAAACATATGACAGTGGGAAAAAAAGTTTTGGCTAAAACTAGACGTGTACAAAAAGCTTCAGCAAAGTATTCAATTCATTTTGAGACATAACAGAGATTTTTCAAAACGCTACAAGCAAGGAGTAGTTGTAAAAGTTATATTTTCATGTTCTTGTTATTCATTTTAGAAATAGATTTTTCAAAACGCTACAAGCAAGGATTAGTTGTAAAAGTTATATTCTCATGTTCTTGTTATTCATTTTAGAAAGCAAAATAAACAAAATCAATAGTAAAATGTTTCTTTTCCTTGTGGTTTTAAATCAACGATTGTACTTCTATTAAGTTTTACAAATATTCAGATGTCATTTAAGAAGTGACAACAGAAAGTGTTGTATAATGCCTCTTTTAAGTTGCACTTTCAAACTTTGATGTATTATATATCAGAACCAGCGCAGCCATTGGTATCAAGTACTGGGTATAAAAGACTGTGTCAGGTGTTCTTCAATACAGAACAATCTGAACTTGAGGAATATACTGGTCGCATCCACACTGTATTGCGGGCTTACTATGAGAGACTTGAAGAACCTAGCTTACCAGTACGCTGTCAAAAATAATGTGATCATTCCAGCTGGTTGGTGTGATGAACAACATGGTTCTTCTGACTGGTTATCATCATTCCTTAAAAGGAAAAAAAAATCATCCATTCACACCCCACAAGCTACGAGTCTGGGCAGAGCAACTAGCTTCAACAAGCATATTGTTAAGATATTCTTCACTAATTTAGGTAAAGTGTACGACAAATACAATTTTCAGTGCCAAGATAGGATTTGGATGAGACTAGTAACAACAGCATAGCAAGAAAAGGTTTGAAGAAGGTTGGAGTGACGACCTTCACAAAAAGGGATTCTCTGGTCATCATGGCTGTGACTCAAAGTGCTAGTGGAAATCTATCCCACAATTCTTCGTATTCCCAAGAAAGAATTACAGGGGTCACTTCATTGCAAACAGACCAGAAGACAGTGCTGTATATGCAAATACATTAATGACTTTTTATTATTCATGAACTTTTCATGAAGCACATTAGGGACAATCATCAGTCAGTCACACCTTGCTGTAAAAGCGCTTCGCCTCGCCAAAGAAAATACCTCATACCTCTCACAAACTGCAACCCTTAAACAGGTCTGGGAATAAACCTTTCAAAAATTCTGTGAATGTGTCAGATGCATGTTTGAGAGGAACTACGACAATTTGCAACAACCCATCTATAGTAAGCCAGTCACTGCCGAATACACACACATCAAAGAACTTCAAGTCTGAATTTTCTGTGACAGGAATATGGCCATTTAACATAGACATATTTACTGACGAATATTTCTTGCCTTCTGCTACGACTGATCTTACACTTCAAAATACTCAGAACCTTACAAGAACTTCACAATGCTACATTTCAAACTCATATTTAGATATTAGCAACCAGGTTTCAACAGCAGGTAGGAAAACAGGACCCTCTGCTTCACAAAGGAACCTACATAATGTAAGCCATGTCAAAATCAGGCCTTTTTCAAAAGCAGACGCACAAAAGCAAAAACAAAGAGTGAGTGATGTTTTAATGGACGTTTCAGTAAAAGCTGCATTAGAGGCTAAAGTAGAATCATGCTCCTGGCCTAGTAAACATAACAGGTTACTCAGTGACAGCCAAGAGAAGACACAGGAATCAAGAGAAAAATATTAATGTTTTGAAGAGTTGAATCATTTGACGAGGAAGGCGACAATACTTCTGTATTGTGTGCAGAACCTCCATGTCCAGAGCACCTAAAAAATGGTTCCAGCGTATTAAATGGCACCACAAATGTGCAGTAAAATGGTTCCAGCGTATTAAATGGCACAAATGGGACCACAAATATGCAGCAAACTTAGTGACTAAGTATTTGTAGGAAATGCAACTCTGTTAATGACACTGACGACCTTACACCTGAAGATTAATGTGAAGCGGTAACTATACACACTTTCGAGATTTATTATTATATTACTTCAATAATTATTTTGAAACAAATTTGCGCACTCGTTTTTTTTAAAGTATTTCGACGGTTGAAATAGAAGGTAACAAATATTAGTCCAATTAAAATATAATTAAAATCATGCTAGACACTTTTCTATTAAACAAATAAACAAAAGAAAAAACTTAAGAGTGTATTTTTGTTTTTGCTGCAAAATACCATCACAAATGACCGCATGTGGTGTAACAACGTGCCCCATATTTGGATGTTACATTATGCATCCTCATAAACTGTAAATATCTCTAAAATGATAATTATGAAGACTAAAACAAATTATTGCCATTATCAATTGTTACGCACAAAATACATACAATACTTGCAAGAAAAGGGGGAGGGAGTTGTATCAACTAACCCTGGTCTTCCCTACCATGCACACAGTGTAACCTCACGCATTACCGGAACATGGGAAACTATCACACACACGCAAATACAATTTACTGCAAGCAATTTAAATGGCGTATGGTGGGACAGCTTTTTTATCAGACAGGTACGAGACCACTTCCTATGTGACAGTGCGTTCTATAAGTATTTGCTGTATGTGAAAGTGTGAATGCAGTCCTTCATACCATATTACTCCACTCCTAAACATTAACACCTTCATACAAAGCTGATTTCATGGTGTCGGCTTACCGAAGAATCCTCAAACCACAGGAAATATGCATAACTGAAAGTGGTGTCCTTCCACATAATAGCTGTGTGGCCCTCTTGAAGATGGGCTCTGCTGAATTCAACCATTGCCCATATCTGAGGATACAAGGAGGTGTGATCATCTCAGTGTACTTCAATATATCTTCAGTTTTCAACAATCATCTAAACCAGGCCTGCACAACTTGAATATACACGCGGTCCAAAATGTTAATTACAGAAATGCTTTGGGCTGCAGTCTCGTATTTCCTGCATGACAATTACATTAGTTAAAAGCATGTGAATTTTATGCATTAATTATGTGTAAATAAATATATTAGGTCTGCACAATATGCAGTCCGTGGGCTGCATTTGCCCCTGGAAACATTTTCTCTGGTCCAGGGACGAGCAGCTCGACTGTGCCCAGGCTCATGAAGAAGAATCTTTCAAAATCAATCGGATATAATAAAACCTGACATTCTATTTTCTTATCTATTTCCTTACCCACATTCTTGAAAGTTACCAGACCAATCATAAAAGTTTGTAATAATGAAAGTATTAATAACAACTCGTTAGTTATTGAACTCACTGAGATACTGGGAACGACCCGTTCTTCAAGTGCCTGAGCACTGCGGGTCCCAACTTTTTTCCCCCGTTGGATTGATCTTTAGACATTCGGTACGACTCCTTGGACGAGGGATCGGCCTGTCGCAAAGCCTAAGTTTCTACAGATATCACTTAATTTAATTTTAAGCGCTGGAAGATAAGAAGTGATTATATAAAATATTCTGAAGTTCTCACCTTCTTTTTGGTCAGTGATGTGGTTTCTTCTGAACTGAAGTCCAGGCTGGGAGCAGTGATGCGGTGATTGAAACGATCAATATAAAGAAAATGTACAAGACCTGGAAATTCCTCTAGATACTTGTTGATGGTTAGGGAAGCTCTGGTGGTCATTATTAAGGACAATATACAACGCATGATGAAGCAAGCAAATAAACTCTTAAATATACAGCGTTACAAAATGTTTATACAATGTGCATATAATTTCACCAATTTGAATTTCATATGTCATCAGTTATATACAACATATGTCATACACGTATCAGTAGAATCACACATTTTACTTGAGGAAATAATATGGCTGGCAGATTCCAACATTTGTTTTAGAGATGACCCCATCAGAACTATGGGAAAGTTTTTAATAAACTTAAAACTTTGCATATGGCGTAGTGTATTATCTTACTATAAAAATTTCTGATTCCTCGTTGTCGTCAATAAATTACGTCATCAACAATGCCGAGTATAAACAAACTCGGCATTGTTGTGGAACACGACAATGCCGAGTACAACACAACAATGCCGAGTTTAGTGTCTTACTCAAGATTTTAAAACGCAACCAACCCCCCCGAAAGGGGGTTGGTTGCTTTTTAAAATCTTGATCAAGCTCCCCCAAAAGGGGGTTGGTCAAGTGTCTTAACCCTCCATTCGGGGGGTTTAGTTTAGTTTCTTACACAAGATTTTAAAACGCAGCCACTGCGGAACCCAATAATATGCACACAGATTATGATAAGTATACTTTAGCTGTTAATAAGTGCTTAGTAATTAACTTACATTAATGATAACAGTTAATGTTACTAAAGGATATGATCCAAGAGTAAAGTTGCGTAGTGCCTTGACCTTGAGAAAACTGCTGAAATCAGAGAGGCGATGCTTCACTGTACCGGCTACAGCCAGCACGGCATCCCTTCCTATGCCAAGTACTTTGTTGTCAAAACACGTGAACTGCAACAGTTCTTTCAGATCCTCCAAAAACGGTGTCGTGCTTGCTTCGACCCGTAATAAGCAATCTGAGTCTGTCGTTTTAATGTATTCAAGATATTTCTTTCGCATAAATTCCCACTTACACTGCAGTCTATGCTGGCAATTTTCAATTTCTGGTCTTATGTGGCGCATTTTCTTCAGACCTTCAAATACTTTCTTGATACCATTCTCAAGATTTTCAAACGAGTGTTTCACTTCATCTGTCTCTCCTTGTAAATGAACAGTTTGTAACACATTAAGGAAATGGAACACATCATACAATCCAGAAGACACCATACCATTTCCAGTCTGAAATTCCCAGACAACAATTATTTATAACCCAAATCACATCAAAATTAACCAGTAATACAGTGTGTCCACAAAGTCCCTTCGGGGTTTTAAAAAATTGTGACGCGCAAACAAACTGAGGTAGTCACATGCGGTTTGCGGCAGATTACAGTGAAACTCTGGAAGTTTTTTACTGACTAGCTCAATTTGTTTGCGCGCCACAATTTTTCAAAACCCCGAAGGGACTTTGTGGACACACTGTACAACATACAAACATTTAAGACACACTTCATAAAATGAAGTCTTCTTGGCCAACTATCCTTGTTGATACAGATTAACATCAACATTTTGGAGACCGTCTCCGTCTCTACTATGTGCACCTGATGTGATGAATGAATTTGTGTAGCCACAGAGTGTAGGACAACATGTTGCGTTCTACTTGACAAAGGCCTGAAACAAAATATATTATTTTCAGTTACCTCAAACATCAGTACTAAATGAACTCCTTCCTCCAAAGGACAGATGTGTACCACATGAGGGTTGTACGTTATGCCGCTACCCATCAGGAGTACTATCTGACTGATGATTCCATCAGCCTCGTTGATATCCAGAAATCTCAATGGTGAGGTATGTGAATCCACTCGGATGGTGTCCTGCGTGGGCTTTGAATACTCCTTCCTCATCTGAGAAGGGCTACATTGCGGGCTAGACTGCGGACTGTAGAACTCGTCTCCACTTGACTCATCGGCATCTTCACTCTCTGTGCTCTCAACGAGGCTGGTATCGGCAGGAGCAAGGTAAAACGCTTCGCACATCAAGCTTAAGAACATGATGTCTCCTGCTGACAATTCTTGTGCGCCTCGACTGAAGACAAATTGTACAATTACAATATTAATTATGCAACATCAGAACTCAATAACATTAGAGGTTTTCGTGGCGGTAAGTCTGAAGATTGCAGTCTTCTGGGTTGATGCGCAATGTAGTCTGGTAGAAGTTTGCTGAATGGTGTTGGAGGCAACAAGGACCTCTGAAACGTCGGTAAACTCCTATCAGACTACACGGTGCAACAACCCAGAAGACAGAAATCTTCACTTCTATGTTTGTAGGTTTAGAAGTGCTTATCTACATACACAAATACATACATGTATGTATGTACGTCTATTAATTATCACAAAACAGCCTTGCTACAAAATCAAGTATGATTCAAAAGCCTGCCAGGGTACAGTACAATAACTATAACAACCACAAAACGGTAATAAAAAGTTCTAAAAAAGAAGGAGGTGGAGGAGAAGAAGGAGGAGAAGGAGGAGGAGGAGGAGGAGGAGGGGAAGGAGGAGGAGAAAGGTTTCTGCAACATGTCAGATAGAGAATGTAAAAATGACAACTCCAAGAATTACATAATAAAATTCACCGAGCCAATGTACACATAGATGGACAATTAACTAAAAGGAATAAAACAGCTATAACAACAATAATAACAACCACAGGCCTGGCTAAATAGACATTAGACTGTGGGATTGGTGATAAAATGGCAAAGTTACAAAAAAAATAATGGTTTTACATCAAAACGCAATAAACCAGAATCTGCAAGGGTCTGGCAGAAAAAAAAATATTGCCAATAAGGGATGCTAAAACCAATAAAGGACAGACTACCATGTATCATCAGACAAAATTAAACTGTGACAATTACATTGATGACACTTAAAAGCGCCAAAAACATTACACATTACCTGGAATACAGAGACAGAAATTTATTCTCAACAAGAAGCATGGCGTGAATTCGTGAAAATTCTGTAACAGTTTTCAATTTTTCAACAGTATCCTGGAGAGCTTTAAGTGACGTTGCCGTAAGATGAATGTTCACCATCAGCTGTTCTACAGCTTCAACTAGGAAAGCTTGGTCGCTGTCCTGCAACTGCATCCACGTGTCAAGGAGACGTGACAATAGGAAGGCACGGCTTTTGTTCCTTTTAAGTCTGAAAAAAAGACATTAGTCCAGTACCAGATAATTAATCCTTCAGCACAAAGCAATGTGCTCTAATACCACACTAAATGCTTAATTTGCAACTGATGAAAATATTCCATCTTCCAACTGCCGTCTCTGTTATTCAGTGCTTCCACGTACTGTAAACTCCCGATTATTTGGTCTGTAGATTACCCATCCAGTTCACAATAGCAAGTGACTATCACAAACTATTTCTCAAAATAAATGTTACATTTGTAGAAAGAGAATTTAAAAAGCTGACATTTTTTAAATTCCTGTGTTATCACCAGCAAATGACAAATAACGTTACAAATAGTGCAACATTTTTAATAATATCACAAAATTAGGGTATAAGTGGTATTATCTAATGGTATAATAGCCCAAAACATGTCATAAGAAGGCAAATCCATGAAATAAATAACACACATAAGTGAAAAGTTATTTGTTTATAAACTGTTGTGTGTAGAATGAGTACAATACAGACATCCAAAAAGTTTGAAATTCATTCCGCACTGATAAGATTGTTCACTGAGACTTCAATGCATTCAGTGGCTGTGAAAAGTTTAAAGTAATCCAAGAATCACTTAACATATCTTCCTTACAAATTCAGATTACAGACACCAGTCTTAGTACGACAGGTCATGTAAGGCCAAATAGTTAAAACCAGCTCACATGGAAACATTAGGTCCACACAGATGTTTCACAACTGTAATGAAGATTCCGAGTGTTCGCTGTAGCCAGTTTACATTGTTTAGGCCAATGTGAACAAACAAACAGCCCATGTACTGAAAAAGAACAAAATTAAAGTCTTACATCTCAGCATAATAATGGCGAACACAAAGGAACAACTGTACAATATGACGACGTACACATTTCTCAGAAGTTGAG